GGGCACCTCTGCAGCTGAATCAGCCTCGGCCTGGGGAGATGTCGGAACCAGATCTCGTCTTCCGGAGGCTGCCTGGGAAAGCCGGTGACGTGCTGGACGTGGGGGTACCTGAGGTTCGGCCTGTGGTTGTTTCCATCCATTTAAACGTCCAAACATTCCCTGAAACATTTTGAATTCCTGTAATTGCCATTTTTTCCCTCTCCGTCCCCCCTCCTTCCCCCTGACAAATCGAAAAGCCATCATACAAAATGCCAGATCAGGGCTGACTGTTCTGACATTTCAGAGCTTTTCATTTTTCTTAATTCTTTTTAAATGCATTTCAAAACACTTTAGCTTGTCATGCAGAGAAATTAAATGCCCCATTTAGAAACAGCAAAATTAAACATGCTGGCTGATTCCATGTTCACTTTGCCTTATTTTTTTCCTTTCTGTTTAAAAATTTTGTAGAAAAGACAGAACTGAATAACAGTGAACTAAATATTCATGTTTTGGTGAAGAAAATTGTGACCATAAATGTTACTCACTTCTGTCAGAAATTAAATGTTTTTTCAAAAACATTACATGACAGTACTATTTCAGATGATTTGATGGGTTAAAACTTTTTTATTTTTAAAAAAATCTTCTTTAACAAACAGATATATAGCAGAACTCAGAGACTCCCAATCCTTAATCTTTTTTTCTAAAGCATTTCATACATGAAAAGGGAAGAAATAAAAGGAAAAAAAAAACCAAACTAAACACAAGTCAAAGATTTTAAAGTGTCTTGGAAGACTGTTGAGGTCTGTTGAAGTGTAAAGCTGTGTTGGTATTTCAAATCAATGGGAGCTAACAAAAGGTACTAATTAGCTCTGAGATTTCTGATTTCTTATCCCTACAACAGTCAGGTCGGAAACATCAAAGAAAAAGGAGCAGTCTGGGTTTGCCAAGGTTTTGATAAATCCTGCAGTGTTTGGCCTCAGCCGTCCAAGTCAATTCTCAGCTTAGCATTCTCTGTAACCCCATTCATGGAAACATCTTTGACCTCAATCCCTTGGAAACCATTTGCTCTCTAATTATCTAGATGCAATCCCTGGATTCTGTGAGGTCTAAGCAGAATTCTGTCCCAAGGGCCTCCAGCTTCAGTACTGAATGACTGAACAGGAATTGGTCCAGGAGATCCTTGTGTCCCCCTTCCAGCTCAGGCTATTCTGTGATTCCAACAGTGTACTCAAAACCACCCTGCATTGCCACATGTCTGGTGCTGCATCACAAGTCCCAGATCTTTGCAATATATGGCCTCAAATTGTAAGGCTCAAGTGAAACTGTCATGATGGAAAAATCCGAATCTTGGTTCATCTTTGGTTGATGGTGCTGTGAGAAAATGAGCAAACAAACAAACAGACCACATGTGGGCTCTCTTGGGATTTCTTCACCTCTAAGTAAACATATGTAATGGATCTTGCAACTAAAAAATGTTATCCCATGTAAATTAGGGCTATTGTATTGAAAACTATATTCCTGGTATGAGCATCGAATTAGTTTGGAATTTTATTTCGAGTATTTAAAAAGGCATTTCACAAGAAGCAGACCTGTGGATCAAAAAGCGAGATTTGGTCAGAATTTTAAGCGGAAGAGCTGGAGGGACTTAGGTAAGTGAGTAAAGTAAAATATCTGAGTAGACTTTTCTGCTTAATACAGTGGAAGACATGCAAAACTATATTGTCAAATTCAAATTATCCAAGATTAATTACACGGAAATCAAAAGCTGAATTTCTGCAAGCCTGCCAAAAGTTAGACTACCTTGTCTAAATCAATTACTTCAGAATAGCCATCTGCCAATAGTCCATGTGCTGCAATGCAGCTTCTTGGAATCTTACTGCTCCAGAGAGGGAAAAATGAAAATAAAAGCAAGCAGAAGAAATCCCAGGGGACTGTAGCTTTAGGAGGCGAAAAATTGGTGCTTTTTGCTTGCCTGTCTCTTCCCAGTTTCCTGCCCCCTTCAGCGTATGAGAAAGGCAAGAAGAGTTTGTGCACTTTGGAAACTCGATAGGAGGCAGCAGCTGATCTTCCCATCACCAGCCTAAAAATAATCCACTCCAGGGCTTGGAGCGGCTTCACTAAGTGGAGGAAAATCCTGCCATCGGGATGATATTGATCACATAGCACAACCGAGTGACACTTTGGGTTGTATTTTGGGGTTGTGTTTACAAAGGTAAGCTGCAGAGTTTGATCTAACATTCAGCAACCAAACGGGGCATGCGATGACCCTCCCCCCATTATCTCCCACTAACCACCACCTCCTCCTCCTCCTTCCCTTTATATCTGTGGGACAGAGCTGCTCCTCGTTCTTTCCTGGGATTACAACTCCAATCTCTTTTTCCTTTTTCATTCGCAGGCGTTCTCTCTTTACCGTCCCCTCCTGCTGATGTTTTCTTTGCTGCTGTTCACAGGGTTATGTTTCTTTTTTTAAACTGTCCTGTCTTGGCAATGTGAAGTCGAAGGTTTTACAGCAGGCAGCGTAGCACGCTGGTGTTGGGGATTGCATTGTGTGGAGAAGCTTTCCAAAAAAGAAAGAAAAAGAAAAAAAGCTATGTATTTAGATGTGTGAGACCACTGCAGATGTTTGTGTGAAATTTGCAGTGCCAATAGCCTGTTTAGCAGCACTGCCGTTGTGATTTTCCCTGTGTTTGGAGCCTGATCCAGAAGGCTCCCGAAGTCAATGAGATTCTTTGCATTGACTTCAGCACCGTTTGGATCAGGCTGTGGCACACGGCAGTTAGCGCTGCGAATGCTGACAAGCACCAGAGGTAATTCATTATCCTGAGGCCCAGGGGAGCTGGGACAGCGCTTAGCAAGGAAGAAGGGTCTGTGGAGCATAGGTGGTCACAGCTTAAATAAGGAATAAAAACCAAATTGTATTTTGTATTGGGTCGTTTTTGATAAAATAGATTTTAAAGGGACAGTGCTTTCTGCCGTTAGCTCAGCAGCACTCTTTGCAAGACTATAGATCACATAGGTTGGGTTAGAGTGCTTTTAGGAAGGTAACAAGAGCAAACTAGAAGGGTTCAACCTAGAAAGGAAAAATATTCAGAGCACTAACCTAAAATCTGTGGAAAACCTCAGAGTTAGGCCTTCCATTCAAAGCTATAAATTTGTCCTTAGTTAAAATTTACTATGGGAAATTCCAGAAGGAAAGACAAATTTTACTTTTGTGATTTATCAAGAAGATAAGAACTAAGTACTTTTGTAAAACTCTGAGTATTTTCTTCACCCTGCACCTATATGCATACACATATGTATATACATACATGTTTATATGTATATATGGGCATATAATCCACCTTTTATCTATGACCAAAATGAAATGTGATCTGAACTGAGACACAAGTATGCTCTGTAAACAGATATATTAGGAAGTGCAACTATCAATTTATATTTTTTTTTAAAGTATGGACAACAGAACTACTGCAATAAATGTTTTCAAAATATTCTTATTCCCCCAAACAAGCTCCACCTGAGGAGTGTACTTATACTCATTTTTTTGTAGTCATAAGTACCTTGCAGAGCATGACGATCAGAGTGATAATTCAGGTAAGATCAAACTCTTGAATATGAAGATTTTTAAGTCCACTTTAAAAGACCCTTAAGGTACTTAAATTGTCTTTAATTAGGAATCTTATAGTTTTGTACTTGGTGAGGATGTTCTCATAATTTTAATGGAAATTTAGATTATCTACCATTTTCCCATTGTCTTCTTCAGAATTGCTTATGGAAAATATATCTCATGAACTGGCTTAGTGCCCTGAGAATCCCCATTCATGCTTGTTAAAATGAGATTTGTGAGTGTTTAGGTTCAGTGTTTTGTCATTTCCATGTTTATGACTTTGACCTATTTTCTTTCTTCCCAAAACTTCTCTCCTCTTCACAGTGAATATTTGTTCATGAATCACTTTTGTTCTGTTTTCTGTTTATTCTCTTATGACTGTATCTGTCCACCTTAGCCTAAAACCAGGAAGTCTTAACTTGCCAGTAATGGGGACCCTAGCATAAAAATTTAATGCTTAAAGGACATGAGGGGTTTTTTAGCTATTTCATTGAAGGGTGAACTGCTGTTCAGATAGTTCACATCCTCATTAAAGTAAACCAACATGGAATCAGATTCCCAAATGATGTAAAGCAGAGCTGAAATTTACCTTCCACTAGTACCAACATGGGCCCATCCTCCTAATTGTTCTTTCCATTCCCCTCTCTGAAGTTTGGCTGATGGCTTTAGCTCATATTGACTATTCTGCACAGGCCATTCTCAAAGGGAGAAGGAAAAGCCACCTCTGAGAATCTCTGATGAGTTGTAGAGTTCATAAAGACAGAAGTTAAAGTGAGTAATTTTACAGTAACTTAGAAAGACGAAGGCCTTCCAGCCTGCAAGTGTTAAAACAAAAACTTACCTGGCACTTGGTACTCCTGCTGGGTTGCTGAATGTAGCTGGTAACCTCAGATGGCACATGCTTGTTATCAGATGATCTTTGTCCCATTACTACATTTCCATGTCTGAAATGATAGATTAAACTTAGCATGCTTGGCAATATTATAATAAAGTGTAACATTCCTGCTGTAATTAGCAGTGAAGCAAACTGTGATGTACCCACGTTGCTGCAGATAATCCAGCATAACTTGTTGGCCTACTGTATTCAACAGCAAGCGACACTTTCTCTGGGAAAGCCATTTTTTTGCAATGACTATGAATAACATTGTCTTTTTAAATTAGTTTATGAGCCCCTCAACAGTTATTCTGAATGGCTGCTGCTACCTGATGAGAAGTAGTGGTTCATAACTGCAGATGACCAACAAATTTCAAAATAACTTTCTAACCCTTCATCTGTTTTCTCCAGAGTATTCACTTTTAGGTTACACAATTTCTGTTTTCAATGTGGCAGTTAGACTGCTCCCATTTTGTTCAGACATTGCTGTTGGCCAGTCAAAGCCATTTTCCTGTAGAGAAGCTTTCAGCTCCAAAGGTTCCAACCTGAGCATGAGCTTAGAGAAAGGTCAATGCATATGAGAGGAAGAGGCCTTTGTTTTCCAGTGCCTCTCCCTTCCTTTGGGCCCCACAGATAAAGTTTTGCTAAGAGGCTGGTGGACATTTCTCCTGAGTTTATGTCCTTGAGACAGTCCTGCATGAGCCAGCTTGGAAATTAAAGTAGGACAACTGCAGCAGTTCAGCTCTGATGCTGAGCTTGATGTGAACAGGACTTCTTACCTTGGGAACAGCACCACATTGATTAGGACTGTTAATTGTGAGACAGAACTATGCTTGTGTGGCTCTCTGCTGGACTGTGAGCCCACAGCAAGGCAGGCAGACTGCAGAGGGTGATAAACCCATCTGGCTTTGCTGCTTAATTCACCTGTGTACCCTTCCAGGCAGGGCTGTTTCCAGTGTTCCCAAGGAAGGGTCCTGGCAGGTGTAGGAGGGCAGCTGCTGCTCTGGAATGCATTGACTTGGAGCATTAAAGGCTTTAATCTCTTCCATCCCTGTTACAACAGAAATCTCTTCAAATTTCTCCTCCTGTGGCTCTGCAGCCCAGTTTTATCTCTTTGATCTCTCCCCACATACTTACTGTGGCCTAAAAAGTCTGCCTACTCATTTTTGTGAAGGAGAAAATCACCTTTGACCACAGGGTGGGAAAACTTGAGTGAGCTCTGTATTCTCGCTTGCTTAGGTCTAATTCAAAGACCTTCAGCATTAAAAGTTTTGCTATTCTGTGTGATTAACATTCTGTCATTTTTTTCGATGGAAAATACAGAGTAAGTATTCAGTGTGTTTAGTTATGTACTTGCATAAAGCTCAGCGTGGAGAGAAACAAACAGCACTTCCTCACATGGGCAAGATACCTCTTTTTCCCTCTCTACAGATGTAGTTCTGACTGAAGCCCAGCATTTTCTTACTAGTAGAGTAAACGCCAAAGAAAGAATACTTTAATGGTTTAATTTTTATTGAAGGAACCAAATTTGATCAGTGGTCAGTCATAGAAGTGTTCCATCTTCCTTTCCTGCTACAGTTTTCAGTGAGTTACAACAGTAAGCACAACTGCAATTCTTCAATTCTTCATGTTTTGGCTTTATTTTGTGGCTTGTTTTTTTGTTTTTTATTTATTGTTCTTAATTTTCACATTTTCATTTCATTTCATGAAATCTTACGGTTGTAGAGAAAGAGGGGCATGGTGCCTTTTCTCTCTTTCACTGGATAACTGCAAACAAGATCTTCAAACTGTCCTAATTTCCAGGCTCAGTTTTATGAGTGAAAGCTTTCAAAACTAGGGCTCATTAAAAGTCAGTGTAGCTGAGGCCTTTTAAAACTCTTTGAAATTCTTAGACTCTCTTTAAATTGCAATACTGAAATGCTGTTTAAAAGTGAAACTTTGACTCTTTAATTAGCCTGAAGCTTAATCTGTTTGCAGGCCTAAAAATGTGTCCTTCTGTAGCTACACTGTACTTTCCAATCATGGGATCTGAGCATGGGCACAAGAAATTTTGCCACTATATTATCAAATTTTTATTTGAAAAAGACTGAAGGCTGCACTGTTTTCTTGGATGAGAGATTGCATCTGAAAACTTGTCATGATCCAATTCCGGTTATTTTTAGTAGAACTGCAAAAGCATTGTTGAAAAATACCCTGTACTATCTAGAGAAATAAAGGATTTGTTCTTCTGCCTTAGAGGCTTTCTTTCTGTCCTTCTTTGGAGAAGAACTCAGCTTGTTAAACTTTGAGGCTAATGGAAATGAGCTTCTGGAGGCATGCCCTGATGCTGCAGAAAGCAATGGCTAATTTCATCTTCAAAGCAAAGGGCATTGACTGTAAATGCAAAGCATCCTCCCTTTGATACCAGCAAAACTTCATCCAGTATTTTTCCCTTATCTAGGAAACTTGAGCCAAGAGGCAGGAGCTACACTACATGATTTATTCCAGGGGGTGATGGTTCTGTGCATGTCTCCACCTCCAGAGTCTCCTCTGTATTTAAGTTTTCCAAAAAACAGAGCAAGGTCTGGCGGTTTGAGTAACAAAACTGTGGAGGGTGTGTGGGATCTGCCTTCTGAACCAGAAATGGATGGAAAGGGAAGGATGGAGTGGTTTCTGTCTCTCCACAAGGCACACTGGAGATGATAATTATTTCTCAGAGCCATAAGGTAGTGCAGGGTGTTTTCATACACCATTCTTGAAGATCCAGAGAATTGCCAGCAGCAGGTGTTATGAAATTTGGGGCATACCAACAGATGCAAAATATGAATCCTCCACTTCCAGCCACAGCTCATTCCCAGCACAGTGGAAATGAAAAAATGGGTGGAAGAAAGGAGGGAAGGGAGGAAGGAAGGATCACTGGACTATTAATGCTTCCACAGTTCTTATCTCCTCCATTCCCTATCAGTGCCAGACTGTACTTGATATGTGTCCTGAGCTGAGTGCTGCTAAACAGGGAAGTTGTACATTTGATGATTTGGCATTTTATGAGGCCAAAGCTACATTGAAGCAGCACAACAGCACCACACTGATCAGAATATTTTCATGGATTTTAAGCCTGTGGAAGCTTAATGAATATGGTCACTGGATAAACAGATTCATGATGAGGTTTTCTGATAGAAAAGCTTAGGAATTTAGTGTCAATTGCCCTATCTCGTTTCATTTGCCATATAATCTTTTTTATTTTCTGGGAATTTTTGCAAACTAACCAATCTAGACTTGGTTTTCTCTTTTTTTTTTTTTTTTTTTTTTTTTTTTTTTTTTTAAGAGAAGGCAATTAAATTCTACTTCTCTTTTTTTGAAATGAACAGAAGTATTGTGAATAGACTGCCCTTACCTTCTCTTGAAAAAGATCACCATCATGATGGGCACTGTCTGTAGATATCAGTATTAATTAATAGGACCAGGCTCTTTTCTCAGTCCTGGCAATGTGCAAAAGACTATTGGTTTTAAGAATGTTACTGGATACTCCCTACTATACTGTTTGTGATACTCCATCACAGGACTAGGCCCAGCACAGATTCTTGTGAAGATTCAAATGTGATTCTTCAAAGATGCATCTTGCATGAGGGCTTTTAGCAACTGTTGTTTGAGGTGTGATAGGAAACCTCTGCAAACTGATGGTGGTCTCCAGTTAAGAGAAAACACTCTTCCTGCAGTTAACAGTCCTTCACTTTTGCTGCCTCTATTCTATTTCCTTTCCAGAAAAATGGGAAAAAACCAACAGTTCCCTTAGCTTCCCTTGGATGTGGTTTTCATCCTTTCTCCCAGATTGATTTTTGACTTGGAGCCAAAAGCTACACAGGGAGTAAATGATTCAGTGGTCATCTGAACCCAGGATTCTCCTGCCTTTCAGTACCACTCCAACCACTAGACCACAACAGCATCTTATGCTGCCTCAGAAGAGAGTCATCATTGTGGGAAAGGGAGGAAAATTCCCAGCAGAACTCCCTTGGACTTTTGACCTTCAATAAAAATGAGGAAACAGCACTTCTGATTTTCAAGAGATTACCATTATCATTATGTTTCCCTTAAAGAAGACATGTCAAGCTTTCACAAATTAAACCCAAACAACGTCTGTGTAGATTTTTTAAAAAAGTTTCTTATTTGCTTTGCTAATAACTCCTTGATATATTCAGACAGATCCCACATTAACATAATGTTTATTTTTCGTTACTAGCCTTATGCATTTTTGAATGTATTTTGGTATAAAAATAAAATTATAGAATGATAGTGGTCATATCACTCTATTCATTATAGACAATGGGCCAAAATCTCCATCAAATTGTATTACAGCACATGGACTGTTAGCAAATGGTGGTAACTGAAGTTTGAGTCAGTTGACCCTCAGCTTTTGCCTCACAGTGAGTACCTGAATGTGAGTTATGCTTAACTTCTGGTAAATCTCAGCCATAAACTACAGATATATTTGGGAAAGGAATGCATTTATCACACTCCTTTCAAAGAAAGTCCTCTTCTCTGACGGGTTTTGATATGGGTTGTGATTTTCAGATCCAAAAAGAACTTGCTTAAAAGCTAACAGGGGGTTTAGCAGAGGTTTAAAATGCTTTTTTGAATTCTATATTTTTGTGATGATCTGTATGTTTGTTCTGTCTCTAAGAGACTACCTGTGTAGTTTATGCTTACCTTGTTATGATTACCTTGTTTAAACAACTTACAGAACTAATAACTATATGAGGAAAGAAGGAAATATTTTTCTCCCTATTCATTTTTTTTTTGTTTTTAAACTGCATTTATACATTTTCTGCATCCCTATCTTGTTCTGATTCTGCAAAACCTATTAATACCAACGTTCTTGCAGACAGGTGCTTTGCTAAATTAAATACATTCCTTCTATTTCAGCATGTAAAATTTGAGAAAGCGTATGCATAAATGAGTTTCCACAACTTACTCTACAGTACTCTGTTGCTCTGTGTAGGTCTCAGGCAAAGAAATGAGCAAGGAAAGGCTTTGTTTGCAGTCTGTTTCATATTCTTGTACAGAAGACTGAAAATATAAATGATGCACAGGTTGATTTAAGCCAGAACCTGTCCACAACTGTGGGCCACTCTATGGCCCACACTCTGCAAGCACGAACACAGGAGTTTATCATGGTGTACAAAGATAATCTCACTAGAAGTCATGGAAGGCAGAGACTGCTGGCATGAGTCTAAGCACATGTTTAATGGTTTTCAGGATCAAACATAAATGCTAACTGCATAGGCAATCTTCAGTACCACTTACTTTGGTTAAGAGTTTGTCATTTTTCTGTAACGTCTCCTGTGTGTGGCCATTGTTCTATGTGACAACGAAGAAATACAAAATATTAGTGAGTGCAAAGCTGCCAGATCACAAATACCAAAGGTTCAGAGCTTGCATTGGGAATGCAGTGCAACAGATTGTTGGAGATATTGCACAGACAGTCTTGGCTCACCAAAGAAACAGCAACACACAGGTCAATTTATGTCCCCTTGGGTTTTGTTATGAGAAATGCAAATACTTATTTTTCAAATCTTCTACTTTCTTTATATTCTCACAGAGCTATTGAAGCATAGTGTTTGTGCTTATAGTGAGCACTAGAAGTTATAGCATAATGTATTTAAAAATAGCACTTAAATAATGAATGCAGCTAAATATAAATAATATTATAAAAATATAAACAATACTAATGTCATATAAACACAGCCTTCTAATGTACTTGTATTTGACAAGGCCCAAAGTAATTTTCAAAATACAATTGTGTTATTCTCTATGGATTGTTCAGTGTGCTCCTTCCTTTTCTCTTTATTATATTAATTTTGTCTTTAGCCAAAGGGAATGCTGGCACTCTTGGTAATCAACATTTCTCTCATTTCTGTAGTAGCCAGACCCTCCAGAAGAGATGAGACTCGCATTTTGTGGTAACGACAATGCCTCAGCCTACAACATCAGCGCTGGTGTCCTCAGGAATGTCTGCTTTGTGGATGCCCTCAACTTGGTCCCTCATGTCTTCCTGCTGTTTATCACCTTCCCAATTTTGTTCATTGGTGAGTTATTCCATGGAGCTCTGCCATCCCACATTCAAGCATGTGTTTGTACTCAGTCATGTTTGCATGGGCTCGGTGGAACTATTGGATGCTTTGTATTTATGAATTCTGAAAAAAGAAGAGGAAGAATGGCTTCACCCAGAGGATGTGAGGCCAACCTGCTGAAATGTGGGAATTCTAGATATAAATCTGAACTAATCAGCATGAAGAGATGTATGAGAACCAGAAAGACCAGGTCCAAATTTGCTGTGAAACTTCTCTCTGCAGAAGTTTTCTTCAGATTTGAAATTGGTAACTTGCAACCTTTGTTTTTATTAGATATTAGAAGACTTAGGGCAGTGGGTCTGAATTTCCTTGAAGTTACATGAATTACGGAGAATATCCAAAATGTTCACATTGGATCTAATGCTAGGACAGGTGTAGGAAATATATAATAAAGAACAATTGCTTCTTTGCTAACATTTGTAAACAAAAGTAGAGCAGTAGAGATTTTTTCCCCAACAGAAATAAAAAATAAGAAATGATAAATTTCTCTTGAGGAATGTAGGATAGTGGAGGGGCTCAACTCACATCGTCTTGTAAAAAAACCCATCTAAGCTGGTACTCTAATGATAGCTTTTTCTACAGTTGTCTTTTTATCCCAGTTAATTTGCAGTGGTGAAATAAATACAATTTAATACTTTTCCACAGAGGTCAAACAGTGGCATTCTAATTGATCATAGGAGATTACGAGACTTGAATAACCATCAAAAGTATTAGTGAAAATAAATATTCTCCTGACAACTGCATGAGAAATGCCATGTCAGCTCTTCCATGTTACTTTCCTGGTGTTGCATGTGTAGATGCACAGTAATACATTTCTTCCTCAAGGAAGATTTGAATTTGAGACTGTATTTGGACATGACACTTAGGGGCTTTCATCATGCTAGAAGACTCCAAAGCAGTTGAATAAAATGCTACTGGAACCTGTGGGCTAAGACACTCCGTGCCTAACTGTGATCTGATCCAGGGACTAAAACTAATTAAATAATTAAGCAAGAGAATAAGAAACAAATTCTAACAAATTATAAAGACTAGAAAGAAACCCCATGGTTATGGAAACTCTCTCCAACAGTGCTGGATTTTTTACCTCAGTGCTGGCTCTTCCTTTGAGGTGAGATGCAGGTCCTGCTTGAACCACAGGGCTTTGTGCAGTAGTACTTGATGAAAGTACAATGCAAGGTCTGAGGGCAAAGATAATATTTTAGAACACTCTAACATTAAGTGCTGCTTCAATTTTTTTAGAGTATTAGCCATTTCATTTTGAAATAGTATTGCAGCCACTGAACATTCCTTCTATTTCATAATAATATTAGGAAACAATATAGTATTTTAAATTGTGTGCTATTTATGTAAGTATGTAATTCTTTGTTTTCTATTTTTATGCTAATTATCAGGACAAATTGTTGAACAGAGCATTAAAAGCCAACTGGAGTCCATGGTATAGACTGACTCCAAACCAGAAATTTGGTGATAAGCTGTGTTTGTGCAGACGTGTGGGCAAAGAAAAAATAAAAAGCATCTTGAGAGAGACAAAGACAGGAGCAAGGTCAAAGAAAACCACATTAGATTAGGAAAGTCTTAGAGAACTACAGAAAATGCTTGAGATAGCGATGGAGAAGAGAGAATAATTTGTTCTTGAAGAATTTTGTGTCTTAACCAAGGATGAAATGGTGAAATGCTGACAGTTTCCAAGAATGAATACACTTAGGTTTTGGTTTATGTGTTCCTGAGTCACCTGGTGAGCCTCCAAGCACAATTAGGCACTGCATCCTAGCATAGCAAAAGCACATCCTGGGTTTTAAATGAATTAGTTTTGTTTCCTTTTGTTTGGTTTCTTTACTTCCCCAAAATGTGCTGTTGTTGGGATTCCCGACAGGCTTTGGGAAGCCTGTCAGGGAATTCCGGGTTTTGCTTTACAGCAAGAGGGATTTTTGGGCCCACTGAGTCAGGGCAGCCCCGTACCTGTGCGGGAAGCGACGGAGGCCGAGGCTCGCCAGACTGGAGGCCAGCCTGGGGTCAGGCCTCATCCCCTCCCACAGATCCTCTGTGCCCCTCCTCTTGCTGGGTTGCTGGCCACAGAGAGGATCTTGCCTGGAAAGGGCAGGTGATATCTGAGGTTATGACAGGGAAATAGGCTTGAAGTTGAATCTGTTGGTTAATTTGAGTTCAGGAGCTGTGTTGGGAGCTCTGAGGGGCCTGGGCTGTACCTGAGGGAGAGAAGCTGTGAAATCACTGTTTAGCCTCCACTCAGACTGTACTCCCAACCAGGCCTGAAACAGATAATGAATGTTGCTTGTTTCAAGTAAATGCATCTCTTTGAGGCCACATTTGAGGATGCAATTTTTATATCAGTTGGAAATTTTTTCCGCTCTTTCTGTGACTGTGAAAGACATGAGGATGCCATCATCATCAGCTCTGTCAGTCTCTGTTGCCTGAGGGTGCCACTTGGGGTGGTTTCTTTTGTTGTTGTTTTTCTATCATTTTTCTTGGCCAAGAAGGACTTTTCTTTGATTGTAATTTGGAAAAAATGTTGTCTCATTGTCTTCAGGGTTTTATTTAAATTATGGGGCAATTGAGACAGTCCTGGGTCATCTTTTTAGTAACAACAGCCCTGTAGCCTGTAGGGGGTTTGTATCGATTGCATGTAAGTGTGGCCCAGAAAACTGATAAGCAGATCAGTAACTGACTTTCTCTTTCCTTGCTATCATTTCCCAGGCTGGGGAAGCCAGAGCTCCAAAGTGCAGATTCACCACAACACCTGGCTGCACTTCCCTGGGCACAACCTGCGGTGGATCCTGACGTTCACCCTGCTGTTCGTGCACGTGTGTGAAATAGCAGAGGGGATTGTTTCCGACACGTAAGTGGCAGAGTTTGGTGGATAACCATGCTAATTGCATTTGTTAATGTACAATGTTAATGTCTGATGAGCTGGCTAGTAAGGCATGCGGAGGTTTTACCCCAGAAAGTTCATAGAATCCTTTCATGAACTGTCCAGGTTTTAATGGGATGAAGGCAAAGCTGTTGTTAACATTTATTCTTCTCTCAAGCTATTATAGCAAGAAAATATTGGTCAAAGTTAAGCACTCATGAGGACAAAAATATTTTTGTCTCTAGAAATTAATTTTTGTCCTCTTCAATAGATTAGCAGAACACTTATGGTTTCACACAATTGTGAAAAAAAGGCATTAAATTCACTAATTTATGTTGTTTTTATTTTCAGACAAATGAAATCTCGCCACCTGCATCTCTTTCTACCAGCTATAATGGGATTTGTGGCTGCCACTGTATCCATAGTCTATTACCATAATATTGAAACATCCAACTTTCCAAAGTTACTGCTGGGTAAGTCTACCTTTGATATTTATGTGCTCTTACAAATCCCAGTATTTTAGCCAAACTCAGCTTGTGTAGGTCAAGGAAGATGGTGGAATGTGTGAGAATATTAAAACAGAGAGGAATAACTCTCTGCTCTTGCAGATATGGTAGTATCATAGGAGTTATTGCACCTTTCATAAGGTACAATCTGAAAACTACTTCTAAAATTATTCCAAAAGAGAAAGCCTTGCATGCTGTATCATTTCTATCATGAGATTTTAGGTACTTTTAACACGGGTGATAATTTTGAGGAAAAACTTGTCTGAATTCCAAAGGGCTGTTTCAAAACTTTGAATAATGATCTGACCACAAACTCCTGTGCAGATGCTGCTCTTTCTCAACATTTTTGGCAGCTGATTCCAATATTATCCCATCTGCTCTCTCAGTCAGGAGATGGTCAGACCAGATGTGACAGAATAATATTCCATACAAGTACGTTGTACAAATTGCCTGTAACTCAACCACCTGAACAAGGCCCTGACAGATACCAGCCAGGATGCAGGCTAACACTAAATTCCATAAGCCCTTTTCCCAAATGAGCACATTTCTGTATTCTCACTTGGGATGCACCCTGCTTTTTCTAAGAGGCAAAATGACTTTTGTCAAATTGTGTGCCTTTTCCTTTACTATAAGAACAAAGTTCCCCCTCAGATTAAGTCCTCTTCAGTGGAGTTTTGTACCTGTGTGAAGATCTGCCATTGTGGATCTGTTTGAACGATTGTGACCCAGGAAAGAAAACAGTGGCTGGTAACAGAGAGGATCACTGTGCCTGCACCATATCAAGCCATGGAAGCTAAAATGATGTAGTTATACTTATTTATTAATTTATTTTTAAATTGTGCACATGCACCTATTTTACAGCCCTGTTCCTTTACTGGATAATGGCCTTTGTCACCAAAACCATCAAGCTTGTCAGATACTGCCAGGACGGGGTGCCTTTTTCTCAGCTGCGTTTCTGCATCACTGGAATCATGGTCATCCTCTATGGGCTGCTGATGGCTGTGGAGATCAATGTCATCCGGGTCAGGGTATGTGCCTTCTTCCTCAGGATCTACAAAAATATCAGTGGCATCATGGGGGTGAAGATGACTCCTTAGTCCCAGGAACTCTGGCTAGTGTCAAGTTTAGGCCCAAGTTTAGCTTAGCCATAAAGGTTTGGTTAATTCTGTGGATATCAGTGGTGATTTAAATCTCTTTAAAATGTATGTCCTTGATGTGTCCCCTGGGCTTGGTGTGTGTGCGTGCCTGTGTGCATCTATCTACACAAAGTGCACACGTATTTGTGTAGATAGATGCATATTTGTGTACTTGAGGAGGGTATAGGTGGATGCAATCTGTAAAATATGTGCTGTGTTAGTGCTAACGAACTGCTTATGTAGTGAATCTTTAGGTTAGCATAAGTTCTTACCCATGATAATTTAAAATAAAATTAATTCCAAATATTTAATTTTTACTGTTTTTCAGCTTGAGATAGGTGGTACTGATAGGGTTCAGAACAGTATCCACATCCAATGTTGCTAAATTGTTTGCCAGTTATCTGTCAAAATGGAAATGCTCCTACTTACACACAAATTCCACATACCTTTAAAAGCAAATTTGAGACTGTGGTTGTCTTACACATAGTTTTTACTAAAAAATTACAATCATTAAGATAATTTCTGAGCCTGTGTTTGTCTGTTTTCTCCTTTGCAGAGGTATGTGTTTTTCATGAACCCTCAGAAAGTAAAGCCTCCAGAGGATCTGCAGGATCTGGGGGTGAGGTTCCTGCAGCCATTTGTGAATTTGCTCTCAAAGGCAACTTATTGGTGGATGAACACTCTCATTATTTCTGCTCACAAGAAACCTGTGGACCTGAAGGCCATTGGGAAGCTGCCAATTGCAATGAGAGCACTGACAAATTATGTCTGTCTCAAAGAAGCCTATGAGGAACAAAAGGTAAGAACAGGTGTCCATGTCACTGTTCAGCCTTAGAAAGCCAAAGTGTCACTTTGAATTTCTTCTGCTTTCATCAAATCCTCATTTTAGGAATTTTTAACTTAGGACTGTTTGTTCCAAGGTGAAACATTGGCATAGGAAGTTCCAATCCAATAGTTACTGTTTGGTTTTAAGTGAATTTATAGCAGGAGAGAGTTGCCAAACTGAGTGCAACTGGAAACTAAAACCACAACAGACTGATCACTTGCTAGATTTCAACAGTGAAAGATTTGTTTAAATCTTAGCTACTTTTGAAACTGTAAGACATTCTGTCCATAGTTTCAGCTGGAAACACTCATTTTCACCTTTTTTTTTTTTTTTCAGACAGAAAAATTGCCAAAACCACACATCAAGAATAGCCAAAACACTGGTGTCTTAGCAGTGATTTAGTCACCAGTCCCAAACACAGAACCATACAGGCTGTGATGAAGGAAATTAACTCCATCCCAGCAAGACCCAGCACAGAAAGCATGGTTGGGAAAACTCACTGGGTAGGGCAGGATTTTCCAGGGAAAGTTCTGGATGCATTTAGGCAGCTCTTTGCTCCCAGCAGCTAATGGAGCTTCAGGCTCCTTTCTGTGCCTTCTGAGATCAAACAATTATCAGTACAATTGTTTATAGGTTGATATAGGTTAATTGATATAGGTTGCTTCTTTTTCCTTCTGCAGTTGAGGATTACAGAGACCAGAGATCAATATCCTGCTGCTTTAGGCAGAAAGCTACTGAGTTTTTGGAGCTGAGCTTTACACAGCAACCTAGGAGAGGTGCATCCCTTAGACCAGTTTCTTAAGGTGCCTAAACCCCTTAAAGAGGCAAAAGAGAGATGTGAACCTACGTGGCCCAAGGACCTGAGTCTGTGCCATTCTTGACAGGCACGACAGCTGGGTGCCAGCATTTGTCTGTAGCTCCTTCACATCTGCAGGTACTGTCTGTGCCTGCACAAAAATGCAGTTCAGATGCCAAAAGGCAAGGTAAATGTGCATTTCTCTTGTGCACGAGCACAAACTTTCAGTGTGTAGCTTCCCTCAGTGCATATCATGCACATATAGATGCATAAATGTTACATATGCAGTCACACTTACATTTCTGATGCTGCCTTACATCAGGTATTTTGTGTTCTGTAGTTGTTTAAAGCCTTGAGATTACCACAGCCTCTAGCACATTTATGCTACTATTCAAAAACAGGCTGCAACCCTGAAGTAAACTGGTATTTTGTAGATAAAGTTAAAGTAAACCAAATGGCTAAAGCAAATCCACGGAGCCAGGCAGTGGGACTCACTGCAGTTCAGTCCTGTGGAGAAATGCATTGGCTTGTGCCTGGGTGGGCCAGAAAACAGCCACAGAATAAGGAAAATTCTTCAGACTGGAGTGTGGTCTGCAGTCTGGAGGAGGTGATATGCCACTGCCTCTGCTCCAAGTGTGTATTTTACACTAATCTCCTGCTGGTGAGCAGAGCTCCACAGCCTCCTCTGGATTAAGTGGGGTTACCCCAGCCTGTGCCTGCAGATCTCAGCTGTGCTCCATAGCCCTGCAGGGAGAAAACTCCCGTTCCTTCCCAAACCTTTCTTCTCACACCTTAATGATAGATGCTGAACATGACCTTGAATATTTTGTATTGTGAAGTGCCTTTGAGATAGCTCACATGACATTGTCTTGCTATCTCTTCTGCATGTTATGAAAATGGATATAATAGTATCAATTCTCACATAATTCCATTTACATCCCTTGCCCCCCCTTCAAAAAAAAACCAAAGAAGTGAACCTCCAGAAAAGCTTGGCTTTTGTTTCAGTTTCTATTGAAGCAGGCTAAATGTTTCACACCACACATCAGTACATCATATATCACATGTCCAAAAACAGATTTAGCACATTGATATTACATTTGGTTTACCCCACTAGCCTGAATGTTGTATAATTTGTCCTGATGGGCAATTGAAAACTTTTCTTTTGGGCACTTAATAGAAAAATCAATTTTTAAAGTCAAGGACCATTAGTTTCCTATGTCTGCTATTCATGTGCCACAATGGCTCTTGGCTCTTAGGGCCAAGAAAAGGAGGAATGAAATTGTGTTAACTATCAATCACAGGGACAGGGCATTGCCCTTCAGCACCAGGCTTATACTGCCAGCTCCAGAATGATGGCAACAGTCAGATTTCCATATTTACTAAGGCAAACCTTACAGGTGACTTGATTTATCACAAAGCACTGTCTCACTGCCCTTTATTCCAACTGTGGAGTACCCAAGGTAGAGAAAATTACAGGAATTTGAAAGGAAGTTGACAAAGACAAGGAAAACCAAATCAAGTGGCACAGCTGAGAACAGCATCCCAGACTGGTTAATTAATACCACAACATTCTATGCAAGCCCATAACATTCAAAGACCATTCTGGAGAAGGAATTGTTAGAGAAAGGTCTTTCTTCCCTCTTCCTGTTACATGCTTCAGCTAATACAAAGTCCTGATTTAAAAAAAAAAAAAAAAGAAGAAAAGCCAGTGTTTTGCAATAAATTGGATAATTTAATAACATTTTTTCCAATGAAAAGGAAACAGATTTGATATAGTGATGGCCAATGTGTAAATTGCAGTAACAGTGAAAATGGCAATTAAATTGTTAGAGAAATAAGGATCAACCATTGCTATTTAACAAATTTACTATTAATTGAATGCCGAAAACAATGTAACATTTTTTTCCCCAAAAGATGGCAAACATTTAGCTAATAAATTAGCTTAGCTGCTCTCAAGCTGTTAAAGTTATTAATCATTTTTTGAAGATGGTGATTAATCCTTTTAGGGTACTCAAGCTCAAAACCCATTAGGCCTTTTAGATTCAGAGCCTTTTGTCTGGGCAACTCACATGAGGCCCTTGTGCTCTTTCCCTCCTCAGAGGAAGCAGTTTCCTTCTCACCCCTTTCTGAAATGGTAGCTCTAATTTGACCCCATGGTGCTTATTTCTCCTTCCTAAGCTCCTTGGCACTCGCCTGGCCCAGTCTCTGGCAGCCACCTGATACACCTGCCCATTTTTGGCACCATGCATATAATCCATCTCACTGTGGAAATGGCATAAAAGGGAAAAACTGAGAAAAGAGGGGGGAAAAAAGACATGAGGCATCCAGGCAGGGTACAGGCACATTTGCTTTTTCTTTGGTGAACTTGTTGGGGCAGGGGGTGGTTGTTGCTTGGCTGTGCTTAAAATGTCTCTGTGAATGCTCAAGAGAGCTTGGCTTGGCTTGCAGCTTGCAGGCATCTGTGCTACTTGAGAAATGACAGATGCTTGTGTAAAGTGTCAAAAGCTGCTGCCTGAAGTGCAAGGAAGCATGCTGCAGAGCACGGCTCTGGTCAGTAAAACTCTTCCTTTGTTAAATTGAAAGGACCTTGGGGATATCAGAACTCTTCTGCTTACACAAAGCCACATCTGCTGGTTGGTGTTTTAGCCAAGAGCTGTGATTCTGTGTAAATTCACAGATCTGAAGGCTAGAAAGGACCCTTGGTTGATTTAATCTTCCCTCCCATCCTGGTCTGCTGCTTTCATTTTTTCAGCACAGTTATCATTGGTTGAAGTGTGTCATCATGGAATGCATACAAGAGATGGAAAAAATTCCAGATAAATTAAATGAAACGATATTCTTGTAATTGTCATATATTTTTCCTGCAATCAGAAGCCTTTACAGCTTGTGAAACCAGGATTACCCACGTGAGCAAAAGGCTGAGAGGCCAGACCTTTCCCTGAGAACACATGTGACAAAGGACAATGACTGCCTGCCAGGATGATAATCCTTGCTTGCATTCCTGTGTTCACAGGTTGAGGAAAGTGGTGGGATATAGAGGTGAGAAACCACAGTTACCTAGGGGAGACAGAATTGGAATTTGCTGTGAAGAATGTTAGAAATCTGTCGATAATTGCAGCAAGTTTGCTGCCTCACCTGGTCTAAACCACCTTTCAGGAACCTTTTGGGCATTCAGACAGGAATGATGCCATATAAAGCCTGGGAGGTTTCTCTTATTTCACTGGGTACCTGTTTCTGTTTCCAGAAAAAGGTGGAGGACCACCCCAACCGGAGTCCCTCCATTTGGTTGGCCATGTACAGCGCTTTTGGACGGCCAATCCTGCTCAGCAGCACCTTCCGCTACCTGGCCGACCTGCTGGGCTTTGCTGGGCCACTCTGCATTTCTGGCATTGTCCAGGGCTTCCAGAATACAACCAATAATACAAACACCACAGAAAAGGTAACCTGACAATGTGGATTGAAAGACTGTGGTAGTAGTTTTAGAGCCATATCAGGTATTTAAGACAGCTGGCTGCATGCTTTTATAGGTCTGTAGTCATCACTGTGTTATTTCATTGTTTCTCTCAAGCAAATTGAATATTTCTGTTATGAGAGACAGTCAAGTTATAAACCTGAGCAATGAGAGACTTGGGTAGGAAGGGAACACAGGTCCTGGAGCCTCCCTCCAGCTCCCCAGCTGTCTGCCTTGATGGAGTCATCCCAGCAGTTCTGGGAAGAAGCAACAATTTTTTTCTGCTCCTCTTCAACTGCGCCTGTTTGTTTCAGGCAGGACACACACTGGTGGAAGCTCAGTGATGCATCCAGCCTGGGAATTTTGCTTAATTCCTGTCCATTTGTCAGTTTATGTTTTACCGTCAGTTTTGAGTTCTCTCAAATCTGTTTTTATACTGGGGGGCTGACAGTAGCCAGTCCCTGTTTGTGGATGATTGTATTGATTGCTGCTGTGATGAATTGTGTTGGCACATATTGAGAAATTGAAAAGTGTCCACTTTACTCAATTGTGTGTTCCTGATACTAGAGATGCACAAGAGATGCCAGTTCAATGATCATTTCAAGTTTCACTGAGACTGAACTTTCAGGGATCACATCTAAATGCTGAGCAGAGCAAATGTTCTGATACAGAACATTTTTTATCCCAAGAAAAAGATTTTATGAGTAACTAATGAAAAGATACAGGTAAAATTATTTTACTGACAGCAGAGAAGACAAAGACGTTTTCCTGCATTTGTCTTGTGACAGAGAAACATCTCCATACAGTTTTTGGAGTGTTTTATCTCTGAATCAGCAGATAGGTGTATAATGGAATAGCATTTTCCTCCCCAGATAAAGTATTTGACTATCATCACTATCCACATATCTTTTTCTTGGCTGCTCACTCTTGACAATAATTTTCTTGACTGATGGTCTCAGTTTGGCTTGAGACTTTCCTGCACTGAAGGAGAGTTTAATTGTACAGCTTATTTAATAAAGCTTTTTATCATCCTTGAATCTGCACATGCAGGATTTGAGCCACAGAGTTATGAGGCACATTTTTGTGCCTTCAAAAATGTTGGGGTTTTTTGCATGGTGAACAAACAAAGCATTTAAGCTTGAAAATAATTTCTGGATCTCAGATTTAGGAATCTGTACCTTGTCTGTTTCCTTTATCTTTTGTCCTCTTCAGTGTAGTGGCATCAGTTGTCGCTTTTTAAAGTTTTAATGAGCATTGGCTAAAGGGAAGATTGAAATAATTGGAGATCTTGAAAGCACTTGGCTTGCTGACAGTCACTGTTTCTCTTGGATACATTTCAGAATGAATGTGCCTTTAATTTATGGATTTTGATAAACTTTCTCTTGGTTGTTTTTGCTATTAAACATTTCTCCTTTAAATTCTCTCTAGTTCTAATTAATGTGAATACATTTAATTTTATCCTTATTCTGCATTAATTCCTGAGAACTCTATATACATTAAAAAAAGATATATCCAAGCGTTATTTTCTTAATGATATGCCTACTACGAAAACAAGGGGAAGTTAGATGCAGCAGAGTATGAAAAGAGAGGTTTTCGAATATTTTTGTCTCACCATCTATGCACTTAAGCAACCCTTTTTTCAAGGATTCTTGGGCAGATTGCTTTCTTTCTTATATTGCCCATACTTTGCATCTGAGAATCAGGCTGAATATTTCAGTGGAACAGGCTTCTTCCTTCTCTTTTTTATTTTTTCTTTTTTTTTCCCCCCTGTAAGAATTCCAGTACATCCTGCTTCCAGCTGGGTCGGAAATACCAAAGGAACAGTCTTCCTTGGAGTATTTTGGTACATTTGTTTCCTTTTCTGCCTGAAACAGAGCAGAAGAGTGAACACAAAAGCTAGAAAATGAAAACAAAGGGCTTTAAACAAAATTTTTTTCTCTTCCACATTGAGGCATTTAAATTTCGTTTTATGTGGAATACTGGCATGTATAATCTAAAGTTATTCAGAACTTATGGCTATCATAGACTATACTTGTGGAAGGAATTGTTTCCATAATATGCAAATGCAACATGAATAACTAATCCCATATAATAAAAAATATTTTCTTGTGGCTTCTCTGTGGGACAGGTAGAATGAGCTTTATTTTCTACTGAGTAGCATTTCTATTCTACAAATCACCACAATTTGATGGGGAAACTAAAGACAAGGCAGACATGGTGATCTTGTTGTTCTGTTCCTGCTAAAACGAAATCATTTTAGAACTGCTAAAACATCTCAATCTTCAGTCTTTGGAACAGGAGCAGAGTTTTAAATTTGTATCCAAATGATTTTGATGTAGAGGTCAGTGAGAAATCTGATTTCCATAACTTTCCCATAACACCAGCAATATGTTTTATTCTAATGCAATGATTAAATTTGCTTGTTTCCAGCTTCTCACATAGGAGGGAATATACAATCCCTCCTATGGCACGTGCGTAATTTTTTCCTTTCTTTTCAGGTGAAGGATCCATCAAACTCCTACCTTTCATCAGAGGAATTCCTCAGGAATGTTTATGTCTTGGCAGTCCTTCTCTTCCTGGCTCTTATCCTGCAGAGGACATTCCTGCAGGCCTCCTACTATGTGACTACAGAGACTGGCATCAACCTCCGGGGTGCCTTACTGGTGAGCAGAGATCTGCCAGGAGATTCACTAGTAACAGCTCCAGCTTTGTCCTTTCATTTGTCTCATTCTTCATCTGAAGACTGAGCTTGAAATGATGGTTTCAGAGGAGATATGTGCTGTATTTTTATACAGAAAACTGGACAAAGTAGTGCTGGGCAAACTGCTGGCACCAATTCCTTTTGCTAAAAACTAATCCCACCACTCTAACCTATGAAAACAAAGATGTGTTGTCATATCTTTGTCTGCAAAGATATGAAAACACATCTTTGCAGACAATGGGAGATAGATGAAGATCAGCAGTGTCATTTTGGCTCTGCATCTGCTTTGTTCATTTGCTTATGAGTTTGCTTCTGCTGACTGTGGACAGAGCCATCTGCAGACTGTGCTTGTTTTATGGGAACGCTGTGCGTGCGCCGGCAGTGGCGACTCTGGATATTTATGCCCTTTAGCACAGAGCCCTGCGGGATGGGATGGGAGTGATTCATCTGCAGGGCTGTGTCTGTAACCCCAGCATCCCTTAACCCTCTGTGAGAGCCTTGTTTATGGACTGGAGCCAGCAGAGCCCAGCACGTGGGGGAGTGTAACAGGGCTCTGCACAGACCAAGCTCCACAGGCAGCAGTAGCAATCCAGGAGCCGGAACTGATGTTTTGCCAGATGTAACTAACCATGGGAATATCGTCTCAGCATGGAAGCTTTTTTTTTGTTCTTGCTCTGATTAATGAAGCTGCTTCAAACATTTTCTGCCTTCTCCCAGGATAGATGGTACAGACTTGGGGATGAAAGAGCTCCTGGTTATTTCCTTTTTGTGACTCCCACTTACCAAAACTGGGACTCTTAGGAGTATATGATTCACCAGGCATTTCTGATTAATTCTACAGGATATACTTTATTAATGAAGAAAATTGGTCCAAAAGGACAAAATATTTTAAAAACTTCCTTAGACCTGCAGCATTTGATGTTTGATCATAACTGCAAACTGGGCTCACAATATTTGCCTTTAAAATTCAGTAGATGTAAGCCCTGATTAATTTGAGACCCTGTTAAACTCCTACAAAATTTATGGAATGGAATGGCCAGGTAATGGAGAGGAACCCAAAGGAATATATATCCACTCTGATCAAACTTCAGAGCATGAATTTACTTGTCTTATCAGAAATAAGGATCTTTTTGACAGACAGTGTCACAGGAAAGCAAGCTCACCAAATGCTTATTAAAAAGGTTCTTTGGCCAATTTCTAAATTTTGATGTTTTGTTGTCATTTTTTGTTCTATTTTAGGTCTGCGTTAAGCAACAAACCTTTTAAGAGGAACTGGAGTTTTTTAAAGTCAGTTCTCTCTCTTGTGCTTTCTCTCACTCTGTCTCCATCTCTCTTTGTCTCAGGTGAGAGACTGGGAGAAGGGCTGTCCTAGGTAAAGGCTGATGATGCAGTTTGGAACACCCCACTGCCACTGTTCTTTCATAATTACATCATTTTAGTAACTTCCTTTTCCCCCCTTTCTTACAGGCAATGATATATAATAAGATCCTGAGGCTTTCTACATCCAACTTGTCCATGGGAGAGATGACACTGGGACAAATCAATAACTTGGTTGCCATAGAAACCAACCAATTAATGTGGTTCTTGTTCCTGTGCCCCAATCTGTGGGCAATGCCTGTTCAGGTACAGCATCCAAGTTAGGGTCTGATTTCAGAGATACTCCAGCCTGGCTGAGGAGAGTACATGTCTGGGACACTGCTACAAAATCCAGAGGGGAACCTGCACTTCCCACTGAGATTAGCAAGCAGAAAGTTGCCCCAAGGGCTGGAAAGGTCTCTTTCCAAGGCCAGTGAAGAGAGAGGATTTTTTTAGCAGGATTTCCATGTCTGTGACTTGAAGAATGAGAACCTGCAATCCTTTTTCCTGCTCATATTTCTTCCACTGCTGACACAAATCCATTGCTTTTATTTTGCCACCTGGCATCAACCCTGAGCATTGCTTCTGCAGTGTCCACTTGTAACTGGGTTTTGTGGCAGGACCAACAGCAATTGAATCCTGCTCCATGAACATGAACACTGACAATGCTCAGAGGAGCCCTCATCTAAGCAACTTAGTCACTGAACACACCTGCTTCTTAACAAGGCTGGGAAAGAAATGGAGGCTGATCTGTGGGAAGGAAAGGTTGAGATTATTTAGCTCAAAAGAAATTTTCAAGAATGCCAATGACTTAATGACCTGAGTTGTGCTGATTTTCCCTGAAGCTTGGGCTCCTGTTGCCTCTTCAGAGTTTTAGCTCAGGGTGTGTTTGGCATGGTCCTTATCTGATGGTGATCCCACTGACATTAAAGAATTTTTTAAAGGGGTAGAACCAACTCTTATATTAGATCTGTTTTGCTGAATTTCCTGAAGCTGCACCAGTAATCTATTTTATTAGTCAGTAATTACTACTACTAATGGGTTGGGTAGGGTTTAGAGTGTCATGAAATAGTTTATGAAAAAAGGCAAAAAAGGCTACATGGAAACAGAAATTAGAAATAATATATATGGTTTCATTTCACTGTTTCACATCCTGTGAAGTGGATGGAAGTGTTGTTATCAATGCCTTGAAAGTTATTTAAATGAACAGGTGATCTGATTGCTGTGGCTAGGCATGGTAATTTGCAGTGCAGGACCCTGAAAAGCTAAATGTTGCTTTAAAAATGTTAAACACCATTGATTCTTACTTCTGATGTTGTAAAATAAGAAGAGAGATTTAAAGACAGACTTGTTTAAGAGATAAAAGTATGAGATATGCAACTAATTCTGTATGCCCTCTTATCACTGAGGACATCACTCTATCCCAAAGTGGAGCTTTTAATAGAAATATTTATATAGCAGAGCTTGAATTAACTCAGGAACCAGAATCACAGGAGTCACATCATAGCCATTCCCAGGTAGCCTTCTGTAGGAAGTGTTCCCAAGCTCTTTGCAGGGCTAAGGCAGCATTTTCCTCCAGGGCTGCACGGTATTGATGCCCAAGCTCAGATTGTGTCAGCCCCAGCACAGCTGCTTCGTGCTTCAGTGCCTGTCTGTGATGTCCCTCTGCCTGCAGTTGCACAGGGACAGTACAGCACAATGCAACTGTGATCCATGACAGCCCTAAGACCTCTGAATGCTTCCAGAGTGAGGTAAGGAGCTCTAGTGTAAACAGGACTTGAGGCCAGGAGCTCTGTAAAATGCCTCGGGGCAAGCACCATCATTTTAGTGCTTCTTTAGTTTTGTGGAAACCCAGTCTGGAATTAGAACTACCAGGCACTAACACAAACTATTTAGATAATGTCAAAAAGAAAGGCTTCTGGGTTTATTTCCCACACTTTCCAAATGTGACCTCCTGAAGTATGGGCTCAGCTGATTCCTATGAACCATTTCAGTGTTTATTACAAGAACAAACATTTTTCTCTTGGTGTGGTTCTGGCATATTGAAATCTACTTTTTTTTCTTTTTTTTTTTCTGTGTTGCTTTTCTCTTCACAGATAATAATGGGTGTGATCCTCCTCTATAACCTGCTGGGAGTGAGTGCCTTGGTTGGGGCTGCTGTCATCGTGCTCTTAGCTCCCATCCAATACTTCATAGCCACCAAGCTGGCTGAGGCTCAGAAGAGCACTCTTGTAAGTGAAATATTTCAGTGATATTTGTGATCCAGAAATGAGAACAGGGTTTCTGGGTTCTGTTCTTCTAGTTAGTGAAAACCACTGTGTGCATTTGGGCAGGCCATCCCTCAGTTGCACTGTCCCTCCCTGTCTGTTTTTTTGTGGCTCAGTGTCTTCCTTCCTCACAATTTGTCAGAAGAGAATCTCAAAAAAGTATCTGGGCCTTGACCTGCCTTCTCTGCAAAGACTATTTTAATGCAACTAGCACCATTTTGTCTGAATTCCACTCCATGAAAGGGTGTTATTCCCATATGCAGATGTTGTATTTCATGGGATGTTAGCAAACAGTGCAAAAAACGGATAAATTATAGCAGAAAAGTGTTAAAGAATGTGCACAACCTCCCTCTGTAAAGTCTAAAGAATGTGCACAACCTCCCTCTGTAAAGTCTAGAGACATTTTACTCTCTGTCTAAGCTTTGGTATTTTCTAAAAATCAGTTGGCACTGCTGGATTATTATGTATTCATGTAAATCTATCCAAATTCTTCAGTGCTGTAAGTTTATTTTTCTGCCTCATTTAGTTCACCAGTTAGAAATGTTTTCTGCTCTTTTGTCTAATTTTTAACTTTCTTGCTGTGACCCTTGAACTTTTTAAATAAGCCTTTGATGTTTAAATTGCCAAATATTTAGAGATCCCTTTTATCTTAATATTCAACAGGCAAATTATTGATGCATGGATCTAAATGCCAGCACACTTCAATCCTGTTGAGTTGTGCCCATTTTTGTAACCTGTAAAAATTGTACAGAGGACTTATCTTTGCATAGTTTTGGAAATAATCTCACTTTCCTACTGCTCTATTCTGACTTCCTCGGACTCATAACAACATCTTTTGGATTATGATTTTACCAAAACTTACTATTACTGTTTTCTGATGAGGGGAATTTAGCTAAATACATTGATAAATATCTCACTTATTTTTACAACTAGATCCCAGAATAATTCTTGCATGAGCAAATACACCCAGTTAGGTTTCTGTCTATGGTTATGGACACCATTTCCCATAGTGGTTGTAAATATTTTAATATCTCCAAAGAAAATGAAATTTTATATTCTTCCTCTTAGTATGGCACCAGTACAAAATCACAAATGAACAAAATTATTTTTAAATGAATCTAACAACAGAAGTGAGGGGAAAAGAGGGCTGTCAATAAGACTACAAACAGTTATAATTTTTTTCCCTGGTTTTCTCTTGAACTGAAGGACTATTCTACTGAGAGATTAAAGAAAACCAATGAGATTCTCAAAGGCATTAAGCTATTAAAGCTTTATGCCTGGGAGCACATATTTTGTAAAAGTGTGGAAGAAACGAGAATGAAAGAGCTCACCAGTCTCAAAACCTTTGCACTTCATACATCTCTTTCCAGTAAGTAACTGTGTTTTTAGTGCTTGGAAAATTATCCTGTTTTTCATGTCAACATTCCTCCCACTTCAGTTAAAGAGAGATACAGCTCTGCCTGTGACATTTTTGTCTGTGTGCAATGTCATTAAAATAAAAACGCATGATAAATACATGGCACAGAAATTTATCAGGATAAAATACATATTGTTGGGGTTTTTTGGCAGTAAGTTTTCTCTTACTATCATTGTGACATTACAGTTAGGAGTTGCTTTATAGTAAGGAGGCTCCAGGTAATTTTGGCAGCTCTGACAGCAGCAAAGATAAGTTATATTTTCTTCATATAAATTGTGTTTTCTGCAATGTAGAAGGGTTGTGTAATGTTTTAGTTGTGTTTCATATTAATTGTGCACATAATGTTATTTATCCCAGCTTAGTAGAGTGGACAAATGAGAGAATTCTATGGCTTCTTTGTTGGTGTGTTTAAGATCTCTGATCTATCAGGGAAGGAAATTTCTTCCTGCAGACTAATTTTCATTTGGGAGTCTTAATTACTTGAATTGGAAATAACTGCATTGTTTTAGTGTCATACAGTTACTGTAAAATTGTTTTTTCTTATTTCCTATAATCTGATGCTTATTTTATTTCTCTTTCCCAGTTTTTATGAATGCAGCCATACCAATAGCAGCTGTTCTTGCAGTAAGATATGATTTTTTTTCGGTTTTCCTTATTGAAAAAGGAGAGGAAAGTGGGGAGAGGGAGTGTAAAAAGGAAGAAATAGCACCATTGTTATTGTAGGACCTATTCTTCTAAAAACCAGCAGATGAATTAAGGTGCCTCTGCTAACTGTAGGAGAACATGACACTGGAAGTTTTCATTCCCAGAAGGTGGATTGGTAAAACCAAAGAGAAAAATAATTTTTTAGTATAAGAAAGAAAAATCATTACATCAAGAAAGAAAGAAAGAAAGAAAGAAAGAAAGAAAGAAAGAAAGAAAGAAAGAAAGAAAGAAAGACCATTGCAACTTGAAAGAGAACCCATTTTGAAAAGCTCTTTTGGAAAGGGAATGTCTTTTTCTTTAGCAGCAAAATTAATTCCTGTTTCAAAATGCATTATGAGGCACCATTAAAGTTTTCAAGAAAGGGTACTCTGCAGTTTAAAGAGGAATAAATTTTGCTTGTCCTCCAGGTTTAAGTCTCAGCCTCATGCACTAGAGGAACTCTGCCATGCTGGTCAGTAATGAGCTCTCATAGACCAAATTTTGAGGGCAGAGTATGCTGAGTATGTACAAGAATTGGAACACTTATGACCAGAATTCTGCATCTGTGAAAAAACCCCTAAGATTTGTTAGATTCTTAATGGGGTTTTTTTTCTGAGTTGTGTGTTTCCTATAAACCCTAACGTCAATTTCAAAGCTGTGATCAAATGCCAGATTTTACAATGAAAATTGTAAAAATTGAAAACTTGTAAAAATTGAAAACTTTCATTCTTCAACATGTAAACCTCTTGAAATCACTGGCAAGATTTTAAAATCTATTTTGTTTTAACAGAACACACCTTTCTCTTCAGTTTATCCTGATTCCCAGTGAACTTAGATTGTTCTTAGCCTTAGCTGAGCAAAATATTTTGCTTGCTGTCCTTGTTCATCTTGTTCAAGAGTCCTTGTCCTGACATGCTCTTTCCCTGATGTGACAGACCTTTGTGACTTATGCATACACCAGTGACAAGCCACTGCAGCCCGCCCAGGCATTTGCATCCCTGTCACTGTTCCACATCCTGGTCACTCCTCTGTTCCTGCTCTCCACCGTGGTTCGTTTTGCAGTCAAGGCCATCGTGAGGTAAGTAAGTGGTTCTTCTCCTTCCTCCAACTCCTGAACACTCACATTCAGTACCAGAAAAAGTTGTTCCTACCAGCTCACATGGAAGAGTGTTGTGAGGTAGCCCTCTGATGCTAAAGATGTGAGAGAAATCAGAGTGACCCTTCCTTTTTACTACATGACACAGAGACAAAGAAACACAGCATAGGAAGGACAGAGAGCTGCAGAGCCATTCCAGAGCAGGGACACCAAGGGGATCAGAGGGATGGAGCAGCTCTGCTGGGAGGAAAGGCTGAGGGACTTGTTCATTGGGATTGTTCAGCCTGGAGAAGAGAAGGCTTGACCTCATTGTGGCCTTGCAATGCCTGAAGGGAGCCCACAGGAAAGAAAGAGAGAGACTCTAGACAAGGGCCTGGAGTGACAGGACAAGGGGGAATGGCTTCACAATGACAGAGAGCACGTTTAGATTGGATATGAGGAAGAAATTGTTCCCTGTGAGAGTGCTGAGGCCCTGGCACAGGTTGCCTAGAGAAGCTGTGGCTGCCCCTGGATCCCTGGAAGTGTTCCAGGCCAGACTGGACAGGCCTCTGAGCAAGCTGGGCTAGTGGAAGGTGTCCCTGCCCATGTCAGGGAGGTTAGTACCAGGTGATCTTTAAGATTCATTCCAACCTAGGCCATTCTGTGATTCTATGATTCCTAATGTTCCAATTTTTTTTTACAATTTCACTAACTTTGGCACTTGGGATTGATTCAGAGCTTCACTGTCCTTCCTTGGGAGGTGCTCCTCCTCTCACACTCTGACCACCCGCCACTACCCTTCCATCACACTCTCTGGGCTCTTGTCAGCGCTGAGGGGGTGAGAGAGCCTGGTGTGAAGCTCCCTAGCAAGACCAGCCCTGCTGAAGCAAGGAAGAGTAACTGGCTAAACCCTACCTCCACATAAAGTACATTGGGCTATAAGTGAGAATTTAATGATGTCCTGCATCCTGTTCCAGGTTTTTATTTCTGTAAAACAGCCCAACAGAGCAGCTTCCTTTATGCTGGTCTATAGGACACTTAATCTTGAAGGAGCAGATTGGTATAAGTTGAATTTCAGGCTTTTGGGTGTTGTATCTATGGCCTGTATGGACAGAGTCCCAGTCATAGTGTGGTTATGCAGACCTACACCCTGCCAAGATGTCCCAAGAGGTGCAAAATGACACCTGGCTGGCAGTAAAGTGTCAGATGCCAAGCACTGGCAGGATGTGAAGACATAACTAACCTTCCCACCCAGAAACATCATTCCTTCATGCCAAGGCTGAGGCACATTGGAAAGAAATGGTATTGCTGCTGTCACTGTCTGTTTTCAGTAGGTAATGTTAATATCAAGCAGCAGTCAAGGGGACTTCAGGCTCCACAGCTGTCCTTTGCCAGTGCCACACTGACTTTAAAAAGAAAACAAACAAAAAAATTAACAGAGTTTATTTTTATCAAAGCAGCAGCAGGAGCAGGGCCACATGAGATGCTTTCCCTAGGTTGAAAATGATTTCTGAGTAGTGGAAAATCTCCAGGCTCCTCTATAAATCATCCAAGCCTCTACATCTCTGTACTATGTTTAGCATAGCCCTAATATCAAAATGGTGTGTACATTTTCCTTAACACTGCTGGCCACCCCCAGGGCAATATTTAAAGACCAGATTTGCCAAAACAAACTGCATCCTTTGTCAAACTCATTTCCTAACATCTTTCTACCATGCACATCATGTCCCCCAAGTGAAGGATAAAGAATGTGTGTTTGGCCACTCCATGGCTCTATCCTCAGTCAAATACATACACGAATACATGCTTATTACTTTTGGGATTAAGAGCTTATACTTTGGTCAGAATCTCAATTTTCTGTTCAAGAATAGTTCTAGTGCCACTAAAACTTCTGAGGGTACCTCATTCAAATGCAAAATAAGGGTTGATGTCATTTTAGGTGCATGATCAAAACAAGGTCTTGTATCTTCTACAAGAAAATAAATTCTTGCTTACCCCCTTATGTAAGACTGAAGTTCTGATATGGAAACATATCCCAATTTATAGGGCGCATACATTTTCTGTTCAAGAGAGGAGACAGGAACAGGCATGCTGGCAGGAGGAAGTAATGATAATAGCAGTGATTTCTTGCTGACCTGTCTCTCTGTGGCTTGAAGATGTATTGATAATTTAATATAAAATACAAAGACAGGCTTTGAAATAGACTACTTTCTCATTTGCAGATTAATGTCCAAATCTCTGATCTAAAGGCATATGTCCTTCTGCTTTCCCAGTCTCTGACCCAATGCACCTTGATTTTAGTTTTTCCAAGGTAGTAACTTCACCATGACTGGTGTGTGATTTTGTTCATCCCTTCCCTGGAATGATAAAGACCCAGGTGCTTACAGCACTCTGAAAGGAAGGGGGACAGAAAGAGAGGAGCAAATCCCCCTGTGATGAAGAATGAATTGAGCTTGTGTGCTGTATTTCCCAGCAGACAATTTTAAGACCTAAGCAAAGAGTTGCTGTGTGTCTCCAGGGCTGGCTGTGGCTGTGCTGAGGTGTGCAGTACCCAGCCCCTGTGCGCATGCTGTGCCTAGAACCGTGGAATCCCAGAATATGCTGAGATGGGAGGGACACACCAGGATCATTGAGTCCAGCTCCTGGCCCTGCACAGAACAGCCCAGGAATCCTACCCTGTGTCTCAGAGCGGTATTCAAATCCTTCTTGCACTCTGTCAGCCTTGCAGCTGTGACCACTTCCCTGGAGAGCCTGTTCCAGTGCCTGAACACCCTCTGGGTGAAGAAATTTTTCCTGATATCCAGCCTAAACCTCCCTGACACAGCTTCATGCTGTTTCCTTGAGTCCTGTCACTGGTCACAGAGATCAGAGATTGGTAGTTGCCCCTTCACTTCCCATCATGAAGAAACTGCAGAACTTTCCCCTTCCCTTCCCCTGGTGAGAAAGCTGCAGAACTGTTGTGAGATGTCTCCTTAGTCTCCTCTTCTTCAGGCTGAACAAGCCAGGTGACCTCAACTGTTCCTCATATGGTTTTCCCTCCAGACCCTTCACCATCCTCATGACCTGCGTTAGACAGTCTCTAATAGCTTTAGTGTCTTTTTTGTATGATGCAAAAGCTGTGTCAGGATGCACCCACTGCCCTGGCATTTCCAGAGGATGGAGGAACCCTGACTGCAATGGCCTGAGAAAGGCACAGAAGAGATAAGCCTGCCAAGAGGGAAACCATTCCCATGGAGCTCCTTTGGCACCCTCACGACTTGCTCTGCTCTTCATTCCCAGCTACCAGTACAATGCTTAATTATTTTCATCTGTCCTTCCACACACATAAATCTTCATTTGACATCAGGGTGGCAGATGAAAGTATCCCATGAACTTCTTATGGAACATTTCTGATAAATCCTGCTGGCATGACTGCACAAAAAAGGAAATGTATTCGTGGAAACCTGGGTTTATGTAACTCAGTGTCCTCTGTTTTCTTTCAAGTGTACAGAAGCTGAATGAGTTTCTCCTGAGTGACGAGATTGGAGATGACAGTTGGAGAGGGGGGGACAGCTCTGTACCTTATGAATCCTGTAAGAAGCACACAGGACTTGTAAGTTCTGCTTTATGACACTGAATTTCAAAGCAGAGAGGCCATACAGCCTCATACAAGGGCAGTGGCCAAGCTGACAGAGCCTGGGAGGTTTTATTCCTAGCCTGGCTCTAATATTGACCAGTTTTGCCTCTTTTATGTCCTAGTCTCTGTGCTCTTATGATATGAAGGGTCCCCAAACACACTTAAGCATTGCTGAAGTGTCAGTAGTAAAAAAACCGCAACCTGAACCAACCATAATACACCAACATATTTAAATATGACTAAAATTCAACCTTCTTTGTTTTTATAGAAGGCTCAGGAAGATATCTTGTGGTTATGGGGCTTGTACTGTCTGTTGCCCATACAACCCATCTTATACTGGGCGTCCTTAGGGAGGAACAATTCTTGCTTTGGGAAATTCAGAATTAAAGGTGGAAAAAACCAACACCAAACTTTGTGAAATAGGAATTAATTCCAAAATGCTGTTTCTGGAGTACTAAACATAGAGTTGATTTGAGTAAAATTTAAAGACAAATGAAGATGATTTGGGAAAAGGTATTTTTTCATTTTGACATTTTTCTAAAGCTATATATTTCAACAGATTCAAACTGACTGTACAATTTGAAATACGACTGAAACTTGATGACAGAAACAGACAGAAAGGATTAGCACAAAATAAATCTTATTTTAGCTTGCCAACCTGAAACAACACCTTTCTTGTTTTTCTGGGCTAGCAATGATAGTAAAAGAAACAAAAATGAGACTGTTTCAGCTTTTATTTTATTTGTCCTGTCCACCTTTTGTTTAGTCCTATAGAGACTGTAGATGATGGGGAAGAGGGTTTGAGAGGGATGGTAGAGATGAAATTTGGGATGGTTATGCATGGGAAGCAAAAAATCCCAATATTTTCTGTGATTCAGCTAAGGGTGTTTAAAACATTTAAAATGTGTGCATGACAATGTTGTATCTGTATTATCACATATTGAAAAGCGCTGGCTGCTTCTCCTGAGCTGCAATGGTGGTAGGAAAGGGAATGGATTGTTTGCTTTACAGGCACCAAATGCTGTCTTCTCATGAGGATTCCAACTTCTCTGCTGTTCTCACTTCTCTCTGTGCAGCACACCAAGGCCATCAACAGGAGGCAGCCCCTGAGGTATCAGCTTGAGAGCTACGAGCAGCCAGCCAGGAAGCAGACACGGCCTGTGGAGATTGATGATGTGGCCATTAAGGTGGTTTGGAAAATGTTTTCCCTCATGAAAATAGGGAGCAGGTCCTCCTGCAACAGCACCCAATGGTGCCCAAGTGCTGCTGTTGCTTCAAATTTTCCATGGCAAGAGCAAGTTTAATAAGTTAGCATCTAGCAAAATTTACAGTGAGAAAAGTGAGCTTCAGACCGAATTTTACAGTTATTTCATGTCTTCTCAGGAAACAAAGAGGTATCATGAATCTGATGTCCAAGTCTTTAGCCTCATATTTGACAGAATGAAAGTATTTGGTAAATAGAACTCAGCTCAAGATCATCCCTTTCTTGCCTTACATACATTATGTACATTTGTGTATTTATCTTTTCTTACTCACAATTTTTGGGGGTTTGGCAATCTTTACAAACTTATCTTGCTTTTATCTCTGTGTGTACAACCATACCACACCTTGTTCATAAATCACAGATTTATTTTATGAAAGTATTTTAAGTCTAAATTAATAATTCTATTTTTTCCCCTCCTGTGTTTAAATATCTGATTTGTGGTAATTATTTTGTAGGTGACCAATGGATACTTTTCATGGGGAAGTGGTTTAGCTACACTGTCCAACATAAACATTAGAATTCCAACAGGTAGGATGAAAGCACACCTTAAATGTGAAATATATAATGTCAAATTGTTATTGATTCCATTTCTTGATGTTTTGAAGTGCACAAAGGTACACATTTAGAATTTTATAAGAAAAAATAGAATTTAAATTGTATATAAAGTCATGAGCTGTATTGTTATATAATAATATCATTGGATAAACTTTGTGGCTTTTATATATCTATATAGTTTATATAGTTTTACAATAGCACAAACTAAGTAAAGAGTTAGAATAAACATGAAAAATGGTTGAAAAAATATAGTTATTATTTTTAATAGAGAAATTGAATAAAAAAGAAAGAGGAAGAACTCCAGACTCATTCAAACCAAGGATCCATCTAACTCAGTATGCTATTTTCAGCAATACTCATATATTATACTTTTCCTGCCATTTATCAACATTACCGTCTTCCAGTTCACAATTATTTTCATTCAGAAGATGGAGTTTTTCTGTCAAGAAATCCTTAATTATTTTGTTTCTTAATGAATTCCTCTTTATCAAGCTGAGTTCCTGTAATTCCTTGCATCCTCAATGTCTTTGGCTAGGGTTTCCATAGGTTTACAAAATGCTGGTTTGTTTTGAAATACTTTCAAGTGTGAAATATGCAAGTGCATATAGTGCATATAGCAAGTGTGAAAAGTAGCAACTGATATTTTTATTATTATTAATAATAACAATAATTTTTTGTTGTTGTTGATAATGGTGTAATATTCATAACACTGTCTTCTGTCATTTCATGTTAATAGTCTTATGCTCTATTTTGATCTCCTATCAAGGGCTTTGTTTTAAAATAGAGTATTACTTTAGGTTGCTGTCACATGGTGATTTAGTAATCCCCAAGCCTGTATGATTTGTTTCCATGTAGCATTAACTGTCACCAGCAGAATGTCTGTGCTCCAGGAGTTTACAGTCTGAGGCCATGGGTTCACAGGCTGGGTGAGCCAGAGTTTGCCTCCTTTGGAAGGAATAAGACCCTTGGCTCCCAGCTAGAGAGAAGCTTAACTGGAAAATTTCCAGTACCTAAAGGGAGGGGCTACAAGAAAGATGGAGAGAGACTCTTGACAAGGGCCTGGAGTGATAGGACAAGGGACAATGGCTTCACACTGACAGAGAGCAGGTTTAGATTGGATATGAGGAAGGAATTGTTCCCTGTGAGGCTGCTGAGGCCCTGGCACAGGGTGCCCAGAGAAGCTGTGGCTGCCCCATCCCTGGAAGTGTCCAAGACCAGGCTGGACAGGCCTCTGAGCAAGCTGGGATAGTGGAAGGTGTCCCTGCCCATGGCAGGGGGGTGAAATGAGGTGATCTGTAAGGCGCCTTCCAACCCAGACATTCTGTGAATCTATGAAATGCACTGGCCAGCACAGTTAGTGAGTTCAGTCAGTGTACGGGAAGATCTGAGAAGCACCATCATCACTGCAGAGCAGGACTGGAGGTAGGAAAGTGTCTCTGTGGGGGGAAGGGGAAGTACGGCAAAGCAGAGAAGAGCAATGGGTCTTCTTTCAGTTAATTAATTAGATTGGCCCAAATGCACTTCAGTTAATTTACTAGATTGGTCCAAATTTTCATGGAACTCCAGGCTGAATAATCACTCCCCACCATATATCATTTGACCCTAAATAACTTTCATAAGTTCCATAAAACAAATGTTAATATAGGTAAGAGCAAAAGTCTCATTCCTTTGGAGATTAGTGTGTTACTGCAGTCCATTAATGTTTCCATCGATGAATACGTGCAATATTGCCCATTAAGTAGTGGATGATAAAACAATTATTTAATCACTTTGAGTGCTCTAGAGCTGAATGTAGCTGGGCCTTGTGAACTAGAGTATAACTGCTTTTTCTTTCTTTTTAAAAAGTGTTTCATTGTTTTTACTATTATCATAGGTCAGATGACAATGATTGTGGGCCAAGTTGGCTGTGGCAAGTCTTCACTTCTCCTTGCTATATTGGGAGAGATGCAGACCCTGGAGGGAAAAGTTCACTGGAGCAAGTATGTTTATATAGCTATTAATTGCTGTATTCATTTAAGGAGGAGGCTGAGATTTGCTATGAGAAATGTAAACTTCATGCCTCAGAACTGCATGTTGAGTGATTACCATCACCCAGATCCTCTCTGGAATGCATCACCTGCAAATCAGGAGGCATTTTTCACTGTTTTATCATGTGCAGAGCAGGGTGCCTCAGGAAGGGAGAGAGGCTAGTCTGGTGATTAATATCTAATATATTGGCCTAGCAAATGTCCTGGAAAGAATGCATGGGCTATTCCTTTTATCAAATAGGCTTCAGTACTCACTATAATTGAAGGCAGCATTGTCACATTGTTCCTGTACCATCGTTCCTGTACCAGTGAAAGTGTGGAGTTTCTACAGCCCAGTGGGATATGGGGGGGTGCTAGCCTAACAGAAAGGATGTATTTCCCCTCAGAGCTGCTGATAATGCTGACAGAAAAAAAAAATTACAAGTGAGCAATGCTTTTCTCCTTCCCTGGTACCCACTCAAGCCTCAACTATTGAACAGTGTCACTCTTCACAATAATACAATCAAAAAGCAGCCTGAGCACACCAAACACCTTAAAAGTAAAGGCTGTTTCTGAAAGGAGAGCTGCCCATGAGGTCAGGCCTTGGATTCAGAACCAGTGAATGAGAACCCAGAAAAATGAAGTGGAGCAGCAAGCACTCTTCAAGCCTAGGCAGGGCAGAGAGAGTGGAAGTGATGTGCTGTAACCCCATGACTTGTTCTTTGGTTTTAAAGATCAGTTCTGTTTTTTTAAAACTATCAAGCCAAATTCCTCTCAATTATCTTTTTGCTGAGAAAAGAGGGAATTTTGTCACAGAGACAAATATTTTGTTGCCCCATCCCTTGACTTGTAACCTCCTTTGTCATATTTTTCTTACAGCAGTATTGTAAACTGGATGTTTTTTGCTTTTCCTGTGATAGTATCCATGGCATTTTTGCTCTCTAGCTATTCTTCACTTTCTGCTATTCTAAACATATGATCTCACTGGAGTAGCAGGTACAGTTGAAGCCAAGGCTTCACTAAATTTAGTTTAATTATATATGAATTTAGGCTTTGAAGGAAGAAGAAGATGTGACCTACCCCAGTTAATTTCTTTGAGACATGCAATGAAGGTTTTTGTACCATAATCAGGCATTGTTTTTCTCAGTAGTTAAAAAAAAAAAAACAGGAATAAGTAGAATGTACCTTGAAATTATTCTCACAATTGTTTTGAAAGAAGTATTTGAGAAAGACTCAGATTTTTACTAGACAAAGATATGGAACCTTGGAAAGATTAGAAAAAGGAGAAATCTTAGAAACATAATAGATACAGCTTATGAAATGTTTTGTAATTATGAATTGTGAAAAAAAATAAGTTTAATATTGCTCAAGAGATAGAATTATGCTGTCAGTTGATTAGCAGTCTGTACATTACCACAACACCGAGAAACTCGGGTTTTAGCCAACACCTCAGATTTTTTTCCTTGCACACTTAATTGTGATATAGCTGATGCAAACATGGTTATATTTTGCTGGTAATTTCAGACTGCCTGGCAGACAGATGAATACAGAAGGAGACTTCAGGTATTTAACTAAGTGGCTCCTGTATTTTGTAAAACTATAATAAAGGTCCTATTTACTCTTTTTAAGTCCCTTTCCATGTGATTCTCCATGCATGACTAACGCAGTTACTGATCCAGGGATGAAATGCAGGCTAGGTGAATTCCTTTACAAGTTCAGCTATAACAACACAGTAATTGTAAGCATGGATAATATTGCAGCCCCAGTTGTATTGGGACAATCCTGCAAGGCATCACTGGGATTCAAATGCCCTGTTGCTGTGGAGGCTGACTGCTGTGAGAGCTGTGTGTCCTGCTGCCAGGGTTGTCACTGCCTTGGCATCCCAGGGAAATAAAGCATGCCCATGTACCTTTCTGTAAAAGATCTTGGCCAGGGCAAATCTTATGGGCTGGGTCTCAGTTTTTCCCACTTATATGAGACATGGCCCAGAAATGTGACATCCTTAGACATGGAGCTGGGTTTTTGTTTTCCCAGTGAGCAATCAGCTTGAGATGCTTGTTAGACACTGGTGCATTGGGCTGTCTGGGTGTAGTCATTCAGCCAAGGCTGTTTCAGATGAGAGTTATTTATTAATAAGTTATTTCTTAATAATTTGTGGGAATCATGCAGAGACAGGTATTCCCCTCATGCACATCAAGCCAAACAATCTTCTCAGACTGCCAAGCTAAGTGGGGCTAAATGGAAACTTTTCACTTGCTACATGTTTTTTTCTACATTGAAATGTTTTCTGTGCAAACAGCTTGTTGTATACTAAATGAAAAGCTCAGGAAACACAAGAACTGTTAAATAGATCCTCAAAAATTGCCTGTTTTGTCCTCAATTATTCTGGATGTGACAAATATTAGGAAAAGTCAGTGCCCCCTCAGAAAGATTGCCAAGAGCAACACTCGCCCAAAGATTACAACCACAGGAGCTCACAGAAAGCACTGAAGAGCATAATGAGCACTGGAGGGATAAAAAGTCATCCACATAAATGTCAGTGGCCAAAACCAGGAGAACTACCAGTTCTGGTTGCAGGGAAATTCCTTCAAACTCTTGTATGGAATTTGTGTAGATTCTTGGTGCTCATCTTGCCTCAATTTCCTGCTGATATTAGCAGAGGAAATGGTTCATTCTGTGGCTACAGGATTTTGTACACCTTTCTTCTCCTCCCTCGTTACTTTGTAGGATGAGGGAATCAGGGCCTGCTCAGACATGCTTTAGTCTGTTTTAAAATATTATGAGTTACCATAAAAGTGTCTAAACCTCAAGTACAGGTCTTTTTTACTTTTCCTAAAGCCTTGATTTTGATTGATTTCTCTTTTTTGTTGCTGTTGTTTGTTTGTTTTTTCACCTTATGTATTCAAAATCCTATAAAAATGACTGATTAGCTTGGCCCTTCCTACCATTTCAGACTTGAACTTACCACACCCCATTATGGGCAATATGCATATTTTATAGTCCTGCTAAAAATCGGTATAAATAGCCACATTACAAAAAATAAATTAACTAGAGGAAATAAATGCTAATCCCCTCAGGCAAATAAAATACCCTTTTTAGAAATCTCAGGAGCTTCAATTTCAGCCCACTCCCATGCCCTGCAATCACATCACTCTCTCAGATTCAGCAGGGTAATGAAGGATAAAACCAAATACTTAATCCCCTTGTTTGTGAAGGTCCCAGCTCACTAAAGGTCTTCTCTGTGTTTATTCATGGGATTATTGGTGAATGTAGGTTCTCACAGAAATCTCATTCATAATTTTGGAGAATCAAAGTCTATTTGTCAAGCCAAGCCAGGAATGAAATTTCTAACCAAGGAAAAAGGGTTTAAGAAACAGAGCTCCTAAAATTAGTCCTTTACCATTGAGAAAGTCTGTTTTGTTATCATGGCAAGCAGATCAAATCTGGCATGGAATTGCAAGGAGTCTTGCTAGGCTTGTGCCCAGTTTTTGTTGAGTTGTAGTTCAGAAGGTGCTCCCAAATTTATACCTGAAAGCATTTTCTCTTTTCCCTGCAGTGCTCTCCTAATAAAAGTTTGGAGGTCTTGAACAGAGCAAGTTTAGGGTTTCTCCTTGTTTGCCTTCACCTAATTCCCAGTCCCTTTTCAAGCTCTTAGATTTCATCTTTTGCTTTCTTGTGACTTTTTTCCCATTGTAAAGAAGACAGGAAACTTCTGCTGAATGAGAGACCAAGTTTTAGTGAGGGACTGTCTGTTTTGAGCCTCAGTGTGTGGCTCTCTGACACTTCTGAGACTTATGTCTCAGGTGCTCTGATGCAGCACCTGCTCTGGCAATTGGTGTATGAAGAAAACACAAGACTGTGCATTTTAGGAGGCCTGAATTATCCAAGTCCTCAGAAAGCTGATGTGCAGCACAGAAAACAACGTCTCAGTTCTGGCATTTTGGGAAGATGCTTAATCCATGAGTCTGGCATTCCAAAGACTCTGCGTGCTATTAGAATTTTTATGCTCTTTCTAGACTTGGATAGCCTGCCAATGATTGCAGCTGCAACTGGTAACCCAGCAGTCAGGCACTCATTTCTGTCTCAACATAAAAGTGTTTCATCAGGAGTGTTCATAGGCCTGAGAGAAGAGGATTTGTTTGTTCATGGCTTTTTTTTTTAAGTCAGGAAAATAATGTTTTAGCATGAGTTTTCTACCCCCTTCCAATGCCTGTTTCAATTTACCTGGTATAATCTCTTTTAGGTTTTGCACTTTGCAGTGATGCATTCCCATGCCTGGAATGAGCATCATTGCTGGTCCAAAACCACTTTCCCTGCCATTCCAGGCTCTTGGCACTGTTAAAAAATCAATTAACAAAAAGAGGGAACTGCAAAATCATTCATGTCATTGCTAATATTTGAATGTTCTTCAGAATGTGTTTCTAAAGAATATAATCCTTAAGAAGTGGAGGATGACAAGGAAAACCTACATTTTGTAGGGCTGTGCACAGCTTTATGCAGCCCTAGTGCTACAAAGAGATTCAAAATCTGTTCTGATAATACAGTGTAGCTGCAAACTCATCTTTACTCCAGGGGAAATTTGACATCAGTTATCAGCTTCTGCAGGCCACTTGCAGAACTGTGTGGAGAAGCTAACTTATTGCTTGCCGTGCAATATTAATATTTTCATTTTTAATAGGTTTTATGATACAATTTTAATTTTAAGTACATTTTCTAACAACATAATTTGCCTGTTTAGCCACTATGCCTTGTAGATATGAAACTGTCACATTTCAAGAAGTATTATGGTTTTGCTTAGACCTTGTTTGCTTTCCCTTCAAGAACATTAAAAACCCAGACTTATGTTGAGTTCTTAAAGTATGTCATTAACTCCAGGTTCACTGTGTAAAACTAGCACAAAATGTGTTATTCTTTATATTTCCTGCTTACTAAATGTCATTTACCATAACTTACAGTGTAAATGAAACAGAACCTTCTTTTGAAGCATCCAGAAGGTATTATTTCTTTTCCAGTGTATCATAAAACAATCATTAATTTCTTCAGAATTTCCCCAAATCCTCATCTTTGTGCTCTTAAGCCATCTCCATGTTTCCTTACCATGTTGATAATTGTTTCCCGTGGGATTAATTGATAGACTGTGCAAATCCAGTGGATCCCACACTTCCCCAGCCAGTGAACCACTACCTCTGTCTCTTGTCTGAAAGATGCTCAGCTCCCATCTGACAACAGTGGGAGTTCAGTGTGCTCCTTGCTATGCAAGGCAGAACCTCTGCGTATGAGGCATCATTAGGTGTCTCCTCCCACATGTTTTTGAGTTTTCTGCCCAGCACTGGGTTCCCCATGGTGCCTAATCTGGGATGGGATGGAGCAGGGCACAGAGGGAGCCCGCTCAGCTCCAGATGAAGCCAAGCATGGACTCCACCCCCGGCTCCAGGTTTAAAAGAAGGACAAGCTCCACTAAAAATATGTCATAAATGAGAGAGAGGTAGTGGCACACAGAGCTGTGGTTGGGAGCCACACCAGGGTTTGCTGCCCCATAATCTTGAGGACGTATTTCATACGAGTGCATATGAACGGCTAAAACTCCTGGAAGTTTTGGGATATTGCTGACAGCTTCTAACCAGCTGTTTCTCCTGCCTTAGCACCCCTCTCTCAATAGCAGATCCTACATGTTTGAAGCTAAGCAAATGTTTTGGTGGAAGCAATACAATCAAAGGAACCTCATTGTGGCCTTCCAGAACCAGCATGGACCCTAAAGAAAAGATGGAGAGAGACTCTTGACAAGGGCCTGGAGTGATAGGACAAGGGGAATGGCTTCACACTGACAGAGAGCAGATTTAGATTGGATATTAGACAAAACTTCTTTATTGTATGTGTAGTGAGGCCTTGGCACAGACTGCTCAGAAGCTGTGGCTGCCCCATCCCTGGAAGTGTTCAAGGCCAGGTTGGATGGAGCTCTGAGCAAGCTGGGCTACTGGAAGGTGTCCCAGCCCATGGAAGGGGTTGGAACAAGATGATCTTTAAGGTCTCTTCCAATGCAGGCCATTCCATGATTCTATAAGTGTTCAGATCCATGAGCTGGTACCAGTTCACACCTCCTTCCTCACATTACCTTGGGCATCTCAGAAAAATTTCTGAAAATACATGACTATTTTTGCTGCTGTAGCTTGGAAAAACAGACAGCAGTAAAGAACATTCATGCTCCTATTGACAAATGTCAATAGGCATTTAGACACATTTAAGGTATGTCTAATAAATCCTTGGGAGGCTACCCATGATTTCTTCCCAATCTGTATTAAACTGCCCTCTTTTCCAATATCATTGAGGATCTAATAACCTGAAAGGAAAAAAGTATTCACTGTTAAGAAAGTATTTATATGTGTGGCCACATAAAATAATCTCACACTTCAGAAGGCAGCAAGTCAAGTGTGCCAATGCCATTTGAACAGTGCTTTTTCTCTCTCTGTTTTCATGTTAGAGAAAATAATGCCAAATAACTATTCCTGTGAGAATTTAATATTTCTAGTATCATTTATAATTTGCTTTTAGATTTGAATTGCAATTACTAGATTTAGGGAGGTACCAGCCTTTTATAGTAGAAGAGAACGCAACCCAGAGTGTAGAATTTGCCATCAGGGGAGAGAGTGGGTGCTGTTCTAACAAAAGCATCGAATTTAAAACTCTTCCCTTCTTTTTGTTTTGCTTATGTGTTTCCCTGTGTTTTTCTGAATGCACATTGATGAAATTAACTTAAAAAAACCTGATTATCAGACATTTTATGGTGTGAAGGCTTTATTTCTTACTAAAGCTCTGTGTCTGCCTGCAGTAGGAACAGGTACTCCGTGGCTTACGCAGCTCAGAAGCCGTGGCTGCTCAATGCCACCGTGGAGGAGAACATCATCTTTGGCAGCCCCTTTAATAAGCAGAGGTAAATATCCACCTCCTTGCAAAAACACCTGGCAGCTCCTTTTAAAGAGGGATTTTTGGCATCTTCTGGAGGATGTTTGTAGATTCTGGAAAATATCAATCAGTGATATTGATATAAACCTGTGGTGGATTGAGCTGGCCTGACTCAGAGGAAGGTTTCTGGTTGAAGCCAGGGTGCTCCTTTAACCAGAGCACATGTCCAAGATGTTTGTGAGAAATCCCATAGTGGCAGTGGCTCTCCATAGAATACAGCTGAAGCCATATCAAGGTGAGAAGAATCCCATCTCTGAAGACTACTTACATAATTTTGTTTTGTTTAATGGAGCCCAGGGTTGCCAAAGGACTCTGAAAACAGGGATTCTAGGCATGAGTTTGTGTGCTAATCCTGCTGTGATCAAGTTACTGGAGCAGCCACTTTCCAAAAACAGCATTTATGAAGATGGGGTGCCTCCAGGGAATGGCCTTAATTCTTCCTTTAGAAATCCAGGATAAGGAAGTGTGAAAGCTGAGGTGCACAGCTTCTATTGTGCCTATCCAGCACCTGCTTCTTCCAGCCTTCTAAAAGGCCAATTAACAAATGTGGAAAAAGTGACTGGACTTGAGGAAAACAAATTGCTGATGTTTTCAAAGGCAACACTGTCTGTTTTCAGTTACTGAAAATACACCCAGTTGCTCTCAGTCTGTGCTGTGTTAAGATGTATGACTCCATTCTGGCTTGATAAAACCTAACCATGACCAAATGCCTCGAAATCCAGAAAAGCACCAACATTTCAGGGACCAGATTCTTCAGCCACTGCATCCATCAGCTTGTTTCACTAGCTTCAAAGGGGCAAGGCTGAATTTCAGCACTCATATAGTCTGATCCCAGCTGCTCATCAGCAGATCACCTGCTACACACCCAGAGATGTCACCAAAAGTTTTTCAAAATTTTGCAAGTGGTTTGCTGGTTCTGGTAAGACCAGAAGCACTGTAAGGATCCTTTGTCCTGTAACATCACTCCAAAGAAAATGAAGAGTCACTTAAAGGGGGAGAATAAAAACAATGGAAAATGTCTTCAAACACTCTGGAGTCCAACCAAACAACTCCATGATAGAGAGGAATGTATTCAATAATTTACATAATTAAAAAGCAGGCTTCCCAATAAAGGCTTCTAATAAAGATGTATTTTTTTATAATGCTTCATTTACAATGCTCTAGGATTATTCCTCAATAATCATTTTGCCCTACTTATTTTAACAATTATTCATCCATCACATAGCAATAAAAACTTCGTGGTGACATCTACCTGGAGGTTTTTGTGTTAGCAGAGTGAGTGGCTGGGTAAACAATTGCAATGACCACGTTGTTTTTTCAGGTACAAGGCTGTTACAGATGCCTGTTCTCTGCAGCCTGATATTGACTTACTGCCATTTGGTGACCAGACAGAAATTGGAGAAAGGGTAAATAATGTGAATGCTTTAATCTCTGCTTGGCCTTTGTATTAAGAAGACACTCCTTGATGTCACTCAGTGATTTCTAGTCTGTATTGGGCTGTCAGACTGGTAAATAATTGTAATTCACCAAGGGTTACTACCCAAAAAAGTTGAAATCTCTTCAGCTTCTTCAGCTATTTCTCAAATGGGATTTCTTGACCAAAGTCTCCCATATTTTGCTTGCAGAATTTGATGCTGGTATTGGTTACATTTTCAATCTAAAAAGCCTACTGTGCTCAGAGCAGCTCTTCATAATTTACACTTATGCATGAATAATAACTTTTCTTCTGATATTATATGAGGACTATGCTTGTTTATCAATAGAATTAGCATTTTAATGAAGATTTTTATTTACTATAAATCCTATAATTATAAAAAAAATCACACTTCCAAAGGCCTGTCATAATGTTTATTCAAAGATATCCTATTTTTGATCCCTTTGAATCATTAGGGGATTAATTTAAGTGGAGGCCAACGACAGAGAATCTGTGTAGCTCGAGCACTCTACCAGAACACCAACATTGTCTTCTTGGTAAGATTTTTCTTTTTCACATGGAGCATGCAAAGTTAGTAAAAAACTGTAATTCCATATATTTATATTTAAAAGACCTATGGGAACTTCTATTCAACTCCAAAACCAAACTATAGAGAGGCAGCATCAAAACATCCTGGGAGGCTGATGAAGGTGGGAATTTCTGCACAGATTTACACTGAAAGAGTGGAACAGATTGTCTTAATTCCTTCTTGTTCTCAGTGGTGACCTATTATCAGCAGAGTCCCACAGAAATCAGCAGGATTACTGATAAGGAGCCATAATGAACAGTCTGAGGGCTCAGCACTCTCCTGCAGAGAGCTGTGGATTTGGACAGCTTTTCTCTTCTCTGATATTACTTTCAAGGCATATTAGGAATTTCAGGAGGCTAATGAAAGGGCTGTTTGAGCCTCTTCAAAATTAAGGAGAGACTTCTTGAAGAAAAAGTGTTTACATATTGATATCCTTATCTGAATGCTGCCTTATTTCCAGCCACACTTACTGTAAAGACCAAACACGTATGTAGTTCAATTTGGAGGAAATGAGAAGAGTCGCTAACTCTGCTTTAATTTTCCTGTGCCAGTTTCACACCAAAATTGGGCCCAAGTTTGGCTTTGGATCCTGGCATTTTCAAATTTGGATGGGAATTTCAGTTCTGGTGTTCCTGCACTCTGTCAGTGAGGCACCAGCACTACACAAAGCCAGACACAAGAAATGAAACTGAGTCCATTGCTGTGAACTGAAGAACAGTGGGTTCCAGCTCACTGGAGCACAGCCCTCTGACTGGGCCCTAGTCACTAGAGAGAAATGAAACATCAATAAAGACAGATGCTTCCTAGTTTAAAAATACTATTTTAGGAGAAAACCTCACTTTTGTATCCTGTTCTAATATTTTTCAATTTGATGTGGTTCAGGATGACCCATTCTCTGCACTGGACATTCACTTAAGTGATCACTTAATGCAGGAAGGGATTTTGAAGTTTCTGCAAGAAGACAAGAGGACTCTTGTTCTGGTGACACATAAATTACAATATCTGCCACATGCTGACTGGGTAAGAGAAGAGGTACCAGGGGAAAATTTGCTAAGGATGATTGCCAGAAGCAGGCATCAGGATGTTATTGAAAAATTGAAAAATTCCCAGCAGAGCTGAAGTTTTATTCAGAGGCTTGCTACTCTAAGCAGTCCCACCAATTCCTGAAGTTAACACCATAACATTTAATGGGATTATTGCTTTTCTCTGCAACACAGTCCCTCCTTAATTCTGTATGCCATGTGGCTAATTGCCACTTCAGCTAACACAGATTTTATAGTGGAAGAATTATTTTATTTTTACATTATTTAAGTAGAGGTTTTTTTGTTCATTAAAAGACCTGGAGAATTTTGTTTTAATTGTAACTGTCTATCCCTTCTTTTCAATGCTTTCTCCTGTCTGATGGGCAGGAAAGCATGACTTATACATTTTCAGTTTATGAGCAGTGCCAGCAAACTTAAGAAGTTATTAATAAAATATTGAATAAAATGAAGACAGAAATTTGCATAATGGTATTGTCACTAATGGTGAGACATATCTTGTAGGACCAGGTCAGTGATTATGGTATCTGTGTTGTTAAGTGCTGGGTGCTTTCTCCCCTAGATCATAGCAATGAAGGATGGAATGGTGCTTAGAGAAGGGACACTAAAGGATATCCAAAACAAGGATGTTGAGCTATATGAACATTGGAAAACTCTGATGAATCGCCAAGATCAAGAGTTGGAAAAGGTAAATAGAGCATTTAGGCAAGGATGACTTTTTTGCAAAGAAATATTTGTCATTCAATTTCAAAGAAACCCAAATCATGTCTGAAGCACATTTTCAACTTGACTTTAGGGCAAAACCACATGACCTGTAAGGAGTTTTAGGGGCTAGAATAGTTTGTCCTGGAAGTGTGTGTTATATCCATCATGGATGGTTTGTAAGCACATCTTAGCCAAGAAACCCTTGGAAATGTGGTGCACAACTGATCCTTTGGTAGGGCAAGGGTTGGACCCAGAAACTTCCTATAGTATCTCTTATCCTTTTATTCTGTTATTGCCATGAACATTTAGGATTCTCTAAAGACTATTTTTGAAGTTTTTTCCATTCCAGAAGAGAGGGAATGAAAGAATGGCAGAGAGAGGGAAAGAAGTGGGAAAAGTTGAATTCTCTGAAATTTAAATTGAAAAGTACTGTGTTTTTTCCATTCTGTAAGTTAAATGATCCATATAAGTCTCTTTGAGATTACTGCAAGTACTACTACTATTGTTGAACAGCTAAGCTCCCAAATTAATAAATGATCTTTCAAATGAATAAAATCTATTATTAATAAATAATAATAATAATGATGATGATAACCTAATTATTCAAGGATATGGAAGCTGACCAGACAACTCTTGAGAGAAAAACCCTTAGAAGAGCCATGTACCCCAGAGAATCCAAGTCACAACTGGAAGATGAAGATGAAGGTTTGTTTTACAATTTCACTTTATTTAATACCATTTTTCATTGCCTTTCCACTTTAATAGCTGGCAGTTCTTAGCAGCAAAGTGTAACTCTATTGATGACACTTGGTAATAATAGTGGAAAGTCCAACATTTTGACCTGTTTACAGTAGAACTTATTCAAGAGATTCTCCATATATTTCCCTAAACATCATGCAGAGATAAGGATGTGTCAAAACAAGTTAATGTCTTTGCTAACTCACAGTGCCTGGAGTTATTGTGGGATGAGACAAAAGTACAACAACATCAGAAATTGTAAATCAAAAATATGTGGTAGCTGTCAGGAGCATGTGAACATTTCCTTTCCTTGGGGAAATTTCCCTCCTGCAGGGCTGTGAGATATATATTCCTATTATCTGTGATAAAAAACCCCTAAATTTAGTGTTTATACGTCTCTGAAATATATTTTTTCCACAGCAGAAGTCTTCCACCATTTGTGTTTCAATTGCATGTGATCAGTTATCATTTTAGTACTATTGACTGAAGAGAAAATTGAACTTGTTCATGCAAATAGATGATGAAGAGTCTGAATGGAAAAGTTAGGAGGGTTTTCTAAAATCTTCCAAATTGTTCTTCTGACCGTATAATAAAAGCTGATTAACAGGTTGGGAAAGGCGTGGTCTCTGCTCAAAATAATAAGTAGTGAAGACTTGGTTTATAAAAACTTTTTCATAACAAAACTGTGACAAGTCAAAGACTGGCAAACTATAGAATAGCTAAAGAGCACAGGGGAAGTCTTATGAAAATATGAAAATATGTCTGAAGTGTCTGCTGTTCTTAAATGACAAATTGAATTTTGACTTTAAAATTTAAATTCAAAGCAGAAGAGAAAACATGCCCAGTAAACAAGTCCAGTAAAACAAGGTATAGTTATTATTGAATCCATGCTAACTTGATCAAATGTCTGAGTCACAGAGGAGGAAGAAGAAGAAGATGAAGATGATAACATGTCAACTGTCTTGAGGCTCAGGACAAAGATGCCATGGAAAACCTGTTGGAGATATTTAACCTCTGGAGGATTTTTCTTGCTCTTTCTGATGATTTTCTCCAAGCTGTTGAAACACTCAGTTATTGTAGCCATAGATTACTGGCTTGCTACATGGACATCCATGGACAATGCAAATGAAGGCAGGAATGCTGATGAGGATAAGAGCAAAGAGAAGGTGAGCCAGATATTGGAGCCTGACAGGGAAAAAAATGAAAAAACCCCATGTTCTAAAGTAATTTTTTGTTTTTCATCTAGAAGCCAGCTGGATTGAAATCACAGGTAGATTATTATACAGGAAGAATGGATTCTTAATGTTAAAATAAGTCAATTTGAATTTTATCAATAATTTTGACAATTCAGAACTCAAACAGAAGAATATTTGAGGGTAGAAAAATTACTGACCTTTCAAAGTAAGGAGCCTTACACTAAACTTTTCCATCTGGATTTTACAACTGGTCTTCTAAGTCAATGACCCCACTTTCCTAAGTACTGGCTGTTAAGTAGTTTTTTCCCTGCCAGAAAAATAATAATGGAAGTCTTCAATTGTTCTGCTAAAGTACAATCTGTTTATAGCTGTAAATTTGACTCAAGGACAATATCTCATGGAATCCACTTACTAGACTTTCAGAAGGCTTAATTGTGCTATAACCCGGGCAGATCACTTTAGGATTTGCCCTGTGAATTTCATAATGCTTGAACTTACTAAAGTGGAACTTTCCAACATCTCTCAAATGCCTTAATTTTTGAGAAGTTCTACTAGGTTTCCCTGTTTCTTGGCCAACAATACTTTCTTTTTGTCCACATAATCAGTCTTAACAGCTCTAAGAGCTACCATTTCAAGATCTTGAGGGGTAGAATAGAGTGAAGGATCTTAGGCCTGCCAGAACTTCTAATTATGTGGACTTAGTGAATTGCAGTTCCATCACTGCAGTTCCATCACATTTCTTTTCTTTCCCAAAAATGATATATAATTACGCAATACAAGAGATAGGATATAGTAGCTGATGGGCACCAGGTACCTTGGGAACTTCCCAGCAGAAAAGAAAAATGGGTGTTTCTTTCTAGGATTGATGTATTTGTCATTCCATTAGACTTATCATGTAGCTGTCTTCAGCATCCTCTCTGGAGCTGGGATTGTCCTTTGCCTCATCACATCCCTGACTGTGGAGTGGATGGGCCTCACAGCAGCCAAGAACCTGCATCACAATCTCCTCAACAAGATCATCCTTGGACCAATCAGGTACAGCAAAAATGATGTCCCTGGAAAGCTACAGGGTCAAAACCTGTCCTCTTTGTAGCTGCAAGGGTACTCCCAGGAAAAGCTCTTGAATTTGACCTGTTTCCTTCAAGGCATCAGAAAGAGAAAATAATTAGTAAGATAACCATGGCAGAGGGGGAAACATTCCATGAGAGAACATGTGAAATTTTGCCCCTGTTTTTTATCTGGCTGAAATGTTTCAGAAAGCTGGCACCCCTTCAGGGCTGGGGGCTCAAGGACAGCTCTGAGGGCAGTTAAGGCTCCAGGGCACCCAGCTCCAGCTCTGAGCAATGGCCATGGTGTCAAACCATGTGGGCACCAAGGCTGCTTCTGTGCACAATACCCAGGGTCTCACAGGCAGCAGAATGGCCAAAGGATGCCTGAATAACAAATGAGTTTATCACAGTACTTCCATGAAACATCTGGGGTTAGTGCCCATAAGAAGGAGGCTGAACAGCAGCCAAGAACAGCCTGTGATCTTTGGAAGAGATCTTAAATCCTGATGGAGCAAGAAGGAAAGATCAGGACACAAGACAGCAGGTTTGTGGAAGAGGAGACAATTTTTTTTCAGGGGAAAGTGCCAAAAGAAGCATTTAGACAGTCAAGATGCAGATAAGATGATCTGGCATGTTATTCATATTTATTGCTTTGTTTTAGACAATGGCTGTACACAGCTCTGCATTCTGTCTGACTGGACTTTAAATTCCAAACCTGGAATTCCTCTACAGGTTACTTTTTGGTTTTAATTTGTCCAACAGGTTCTTCGACATGACTCCGCTGGGGCTAATTCTGAATCGCTTCTCTGCTGATACAAATATCATTGATCAGGTAGATGTAGCAATACATTCTATTATCCTGACTCTGCAAATTTTCATGTAGATCTGAATAAGATGATGTACTAAAATATTCAGTAGAGAAAGGCATAGCAAAACCAGGCTCTGGGAATGATAATAGGGACACTCAAAAAGTACACACATTTGTAGTAATGAGGGCAAGTAAGCTTTAAAATAAACATAGAGGGAGATGGTGGCTCTTCATTTCTTCATATGCAGAGTGGTTGATTCTGTTGGAAGATCTGGATTAAGAAAACATCAGATTTTGGACTTGAAACAGGAAACACAGTAAAATATAACAGCTTTGAATATATGGGAGTAGGTGTGAGAAATAAATGTTCCACCATGGCTGGCAGAACTTGTGGATTTAAAGCATCCAGGGAGAGGAAGAGCTTTCACTATGACTGTGCATTAAAATTTTTAGATGAACAATAATCCTGAATGTAAGGTTGATGGGAATATGGAATAAAAATTATGAGACTGTGAGACAGAGCATTCTACTTCTCTAAATATCTGGCATATCAAGAACAATTTTCTCTTCCTTGCCTGATATATAAATGAGGTGGAAATAGCTCCTATTTCCCCATGATCTTTAAAACTCTGACCTTTAGAAAACAAAAACCTACTGACTCATTTTTTAACTCCTGTACATTTGGCTATGAGACCCACAGAAACAGAAAGACTCTTGATTTTAGGAGAACATCAATGAGTATCTAGTGGTATTATTTCACTTTTCTGATAGGAAAAGGTGTATAGTGGTGCTACCAGGATTTTTTTTCTTCATGGATGTTTTTCACTTCCCTCTAGCACATCCCTCCCACACTGGAGTCTCTGACCAGATCCACCTTGCTGTGCCTGTCAGCCATTGGGATGATCTCCTATGCCACTCCATGGTTCCTTGTGGCCCTTGTGCCCCTGGGCATAGCATTTTATTTCATCCAGAAATACTTCAGGGTTGCCTCCAAGTACGTATTAAAGAACCGTCCTGAAAATTTCCTCCATGAAATATTCTACATAAGAACTGTGATGAAATGTGAGGTTGTAGGAGCTAAAAAAGGGGAAAATGGCCATGGCATCCTGCTTTTGATCTTGATGCATGAGTTTGAGACATGCACTGGGCAATGTTTCCAACTGACCTGGCTATAAATGGGGTATTTGTGGAAGTAACACCAACTGAATGCATTTGTTTGGCTCTAGAGTGAGATGAACATGAAGTTTGTTTATCAGCTGAATTTGCATCTGGTCTAAACTGCTCCTTGACATTTGAGTATTAGTAGAGAACAGAAAATATTTTCCTGGATTAACATCAATCATGGTTTTTACTTCATATTGGGGAAAAAAGCTCCACAGAAAGTAATTTCGATTGTAGAGTGTTCCATATTCAGGGTGACTTGGCTGGGTGTAAAGAGTACAGTTTTTTCAGCAAAATGAGAGTCATGCTTCTGATGCTAAATTTATTCTATAATTTCATAAAACATTGTCAGGAAGCCAGTTTTTTCTTAAATTCAATCTCTTAGTCTCTTGTAATCAGACAGAATCTTCCAAGATTTATTTAGAAGAAAACTCTGTAATTAGAATTCATAAAGCAGAAATGTTTAAATCTGAAATAAGTTACTTAATTTCTCTGAGATTTTTCAGAAACCTTGTTCTTGCCCTACCAAAACTCCAAAATGAAGCTCTGTGTGGCAGTACACCAGATCTCAAGGTGGCTGACAAGTCAGGAGACCTGGTTTTCACTCTCAAATTATTCTGTTAAATTAAACTTTTTTAAATCACTTGAGATGTGACTTGTGTTCTTTTGATGGACAATAGAAATGAAAACATCCAATTTATTTCCCTAAAAATGAGTCTTGGGAAATGTGGGACGAAGGAATAGCTTCAGCCAGTGTTTGTAACTCACTTGCATGCAGTCCTTTGCAGGCATATAAGCCTCAATAATTTTTAGAAATGCAAATATTTACAATATTTCTTGCAGCACTTTGACTCTTTGTTGTATTTTCCATTACTTCTTTCAAAAACTTCTGTGTATTTTCCATCGTAAATTTGAAAGATATTTATCATCAAAACATCAGCAGCAAATTCAGTTCTGCACACTGCAACATTCAGCAATATCAAGCAGTTTTTTCTCCTAGCCTATCTAATACAGTGGGCAAAATTTTTAGGCTTTTGATAACAAGTTTTAATCTCTAATGAGGTGGACTTTCTTCTGTTTGTACAACTGGCTGCTATGACAATGGCAGAATGTTACAAAAAGATGTAATTTCTTATTCTGTGGTTTGGAAGATGTTCCTCTTTTAAAAGACTGGAATTTTTTGGACTTAAATATTGTTGCTCCATGCAGGTCTTGGAAGTGTCATTGCTGAGTAATTAGGGAAATTTATCACTCATTATTTCTCTGTCAGTGCTGTCTCTGCTACAACCAATGTTAACAGCACAAAGAGAAGATCTGCTATCATCTGAAATATTTTACTTTCAGCATGTTGTGGTACTTCTAGATATGGAAAATGAGGCCAGGTTTATGTGGAAATACAGCTTTTTTTGTTAGGCCAGCTGTTGTTATAAAATATATAAACTTCCTGATACACACACCCTATTACATACCTGACCTAAGAGTCACAAATAACATGCTATATAGTTTAAAATCAATGGTTTTGAATTTAATTTAATTTTATTAATATATCAGAATCTGTGAGAATAAAATGTAATGAGGATCTGTCTAAAATGGATAGCAGGTTTTTATCCAGGAGAGACATGATAATGTCCTTATCCCTAGGGGGCAAATAGAAGCTTAAAGTTACCAAAAGTAAATGGAGAGGGCAGCAGGGAGATGATTCAAAGGGTCCTGTGGCCAAAAAAAAAGGAATGTTATATTTCCATGCCAGTGTCTTTCTGTACTATAGAAATTTTTTTGTGATCCTGAAAAGAATATGTGCAATACACAACGTGTCTGTTCTTGTCTGCTGTGCAGCAAAATTTCTACAGACAGAAATGTTTGCATTGTAATGGGCATTGTGTTGTTTTTTGTACTCCCAGGGACCTCCAAGAACTTGATGACAGCACCCAGCTCCCTCTGCTGTGTCACTTCTCTGAGACAGCTGAAGGCCTTACCACCATCAGAGCATTTGGGTAAAATTTATAAACAAATTATCAGAGGGTCAGGCTGGCCTGTTCAGCTTCCTTGGAGCATATCTGAGGGCCAGCTGTTGAATTTGAAGAACTTTATTCAGCTATTTAGGAAAAAGATAATGAATTTTTTTCGTGTTGCTTTGCCTCTTAAACATTTTGCATATTTTCAGTAACACATGTATTGGTGTTGCACTGATTTAAAAATGATTATATTTTTAGGATATGATATTTAAATTTTTAATGGGTCTATTTTAACCATGCCTTTAACTTGAACAGCATGGAGCTGTATTTTGCCAAGCAGGCAGAGGCACTGCCCCTTCAAACCCTCTGCTATATCCAAGTGTCCCTGAATCAGTTCTGTGTTTAACCCACTTCCCAAGCAAGGAGACATCATTATGGTGCTCTCCAACTGAAAGGCAATGTGCAACTTGAGAGAGTTTCCAAGAAAACTGCAGCAGAACAGAACTTGATTTGAATATTGTAAAACCTCCCCTTTTGTTAATCAAAACTGAGAAATCAGTTCTGTAAGATCCAGGGAGTTTTTCCAGCTTTCCATGCATACATTTTCTCTCTACTACCTGAAATATAGGCCAAACTCTCCTATGTTCACTCCATTATGGTGCTGACTGTCAAAGTGCCAGCTTGAGGTTTTTTCCCACTAAGTGCACCTTGCACCCATTCTGCACTATGTAGAATTCCAAACCAGAGCAGATCCCACTGCAATGACATTTCCACACCTATTTGATCAGCTTCAGGCTGTTTCCTCACATCAAGCTAAGGTTTAGGACCTCAGCTGTTAGCACACAGTGTTGCAGTAAGGCCTGTGGAAGAACAAGCAAAACCACTGTTGTGTTGTAGAGGTGTGAGCCAGTGGTCAACAGGAAATGCTTAACTAGCTTTATCAACACAATGATGTATTGAAACAGGAAGTCATCGTTAGGGACTGATGCTGATGTATGCTGAGTACTTCTCAAGAGGTTCAGAGTGGCCTTTCATCACCTGAGAAAGGTTATGAACCTGAGGTTGTCTCCTGAACAAGCTGAAGGAGCTTAGCACTTTCTGAGTGGTTCAACTCTTTTTTGCCACACAAAAAGGTAATGTGGGCTTGCACGACAGAGAGCAAAAGGCACCTGAGGGTACCACAACAATTGAGTTTTTCAGGATTTCTGGTGCTAATCAAAGCCATTTCATTTCCCTGCCTATACTCCACTCCACTGCCCACCAAACCTGAAGTCTCCTGCATTTATTGTCTGCAAGTTTCTTTTTACTGCTGGTGCTGTTAGTCATTCTCTGCAGTTTGGGTTCAGTATGTTCCAGGATAAAACTGAGCAGCTCCTCACATAACTTACCGCAAAGCAGTACTGTTGGATCAGAGAGAAATCTCAGTGACTTTTGCTGTTCGTCATCTGACAGGATAAAAGTCTGAAAGTGCCCAGAAGATGAACTGAACGTGGATGAAAACACAGATTGAGTGTGTCAGATTTTCCATTAGGAGAGCAGGAATTTTGCTGCCAGGAAAGCAGATGAGCAGAGTAGTCACTGCATCCTTGTTCCTCCCCACATCCCATCATTACTGTTACCAGTTTTTCTGGGGTGGTTGCTTGTCCTGTTTACAAGCTGTGCAGAGGGAAATAAAATATCAGCAGGAAACAGCAGGAAAAAAAGGAATTTTCTGGAAGAACAGACATTAGAGGTGCTTCACAGCAGGGCCCCGAGACTTTGAAATGGAAGATAAACAGACACTGAGCTGCTGAAGTTCAGTAGGTTTAATCAAGTGCGGGTATTCACCAGACAATAGACTATGATTTCAAACAAAATGGTTTCCATCTGACTGTGCAAGGCACCATGCATTTAACATTAGCACCAACAGAGATTTCCTCCTGCCCTCCCAAAGGTACCTCGGCTCTTCAGTGCTCAGGCATCCTTGCACTTTTTTTAAAATGTGATGGGCATTGTGTGGGGGAGAGAGGAACAAGTGGCAGTGGAGGCAACACCACTCATTTTTCTAATTTAGAGGTGATCCTTAGCTCTTCCTGATTGTACTTTCCCAGTAGTTTAGGCAAAGTGTGACTGGCTGAGAAAACAGCTGAGCTGAGTAGGTGAAAGGTTTGATTTACAGATCAGTCTACATCCATGTTAGCTGAAACTTTAGTTGAAACTTTAGGGATGTCACCCCTGTTGAAGAGCTCTGCAGCTGGCCAGGTAACTTCTGAAATCAGACTTAAGCTGATGGGTGAGCCCTCTGCCCTTGCTAGTGACCTAGAGGCCACAGCAGCACTCATCTGTGGGAGGAGTGGACTACAATCCACAGCTATAAAAGGTGGATCAGCTCTAGGAAACCAAACCTGTCCCAGCACCCTGGCATTGCAATTTCTTGAGGGGACAGTCTCTGGTCCAAACCCTAGTCCAACAGAATTGCTTGTCAATCAAATCCTGACTCCACATGTTGCTCTGGCTCTGGGGAGCTGTGGCAGCAGATGGACATTCTTAGGGAAGAGCTTTTAACCCAAACTTTGGCAAAAACAGAAGGGCAAAAAGTTTTGGGCTGGGGGGAGGGAAGGCAGAGCAGAGTTAAGGCTTTATCCTTTTGTGTGTGAGTGCGTAATGTGTTGTAATGTAACAACTTTGGTCTCGGCAGGCACGAAGCCAGATTTAAACAACGTATGCTGGAGCTGACGGACACGAACAACATTGCCTACTTATTTCTGTCAGCTGCCAACAGATGGCTGGAGGTCAGGACGGTACGTTCAGTTTTGTCCCAGCCATGGTTTTGAAACCTTGGAAGCAAACAGAGACTTTGCCTGATGCAGAGAAGATAATAACGAGTATTAATCTCGCGAGGAGATAATACACACAGCTCCTTAAAATAGATCAGGATTGTTATGTTAAACCCAGAGGGTTTTTTCAGCTTTCTTGGCCAGGAGTAAGAAAATACAACTCTGCCTCATCTGCTGCTGCTGTGCTGTCTAGCGTCTGAAGGGAGTGCAAGAACAAACATTTACATAACTTCAAACAAGACTTTCTCTACTACTGTGCAGCATCCACAGACCTGCCACAGCAGGAACTACTTTCAAGGCAGAGCGTGGCTTTTCAGTGGCTTTATGAACTATGCCATCCTTCTGCCAGGGCTGTTTTAGGCACACTGATCTCCCAGGTCTTGAAATATCTCTCCAGCATCAGGGTTAATCCCACAGCTGTAAGCTAAACCCTTGCAGGGCCATACTCTTTGTGGTTTTATTGTTTGATATCATGAAAGACAGCATAACTAGACTCCAGAAAGAAAATGACAGCAGGGCACAATGCAGCCAATGACAGTGACATAGGCTCCTGGGTTTTGTGGGGGCTCTCTGTGAGGGACTTTCCTGATCTGCAAGGCAAGAAGAGGCAAGCAAAGTGATCCCCTTGTTCATCTGAAACAGAAAGAATGGTGAATAAACAGAGCAGTGGCCTGATTCTACTGGACATAAATAGTGGTTAATCCTCACATCAAAGGCTGTATACTAACCTTCTTTTCCTGTTGGAGCAATGAAGTTATTCTGCATTTTTTATGATGGCTAAGCTTTCCCTTGTTCTTGAAGCTTTCAGCTTCTTACAGCATCCAAGATCAGCTGAAATTGCTTCCAAATCTAAGACAGATAAATAACAGAGCAACAGCCAATCCTGGAAGAAGCTTGATAATATCTCACAGTCTTAGACTTGCTTACATGCAGAATTAATTTGGTCCAAGAATACACTTCGCCTCATGAGAGCATTAGAAATAATGTGATCTTGCCAAGGAATAGTTCATCTAGCTCTGCCTAATGGCACAGTGATATTAAGATCACTAAAAACTTTGTGAGATTTAATAGCAGCAGTTCAGTCCTGTCCTAGCAGATGATGGAGACTCAAGACCATTATGCTCCATAGGTGTGAGTCACAGAATCCCAGAAACACAGAATGATTTGTGCTGGGAGGGACCTTAGAGCCCATTCAGTTCCAACCCCTGCCATGGGCAGGGACACCTTCCACTATCCCAGGTTTCTCAGTTCTCCATCCAGCCTGGCCTTCTAGAGATGAGGCAGCCACAGCTTCTCTGGTCAACCTGTGCCAGGGTCTCACCACCCTCACAGGGAAGAATTTCTTTCTCATAGCAAATCTAACTCCCCCCTCTGTCAGTTTGAATCCATTCTCCCCTAAAATTTGTCTGTATTCTGCTCATAATTTTCTAGACAGATGAACTAGGCAGTCCTCATTTCAAATCTCAGAAGGAAAGATTCCTGACACAGTATTATCAGACAAGAAGAGAAAAATGAATAGAAAATGTGATCCAAAGTAAATGTAATGCAGGCAGCAGTGGGAGAGTGGGAATACCAACTATATCCCATTAATCAGCACCTTGACTCCACAACATGACATGTGGCATATGCTTCAAACCTGAGGTAAACATCAAGAAAATGGGTTCCAGCTCTTGCAAAGCTTTTGCCAATAAAACATGCGCATGACCTGTATAAATTCTACCAAAAGCCTTCCTGGACTTTGTGAAGTCAGTGATACTTCCTTTTTTTGAGGAGGCAGATCCATAGTTGAGAAGACCTGAAGGAGAGTGCAGAGAGTGGAATTGATTTGTTTTAGTAGTGGGAATTAGGGGTGTCACTGTTATATCCTTCTCATGATTTTTTTAATATGCTTATTAGATTTTTTGATCCCTGCTGTTTTTGGGGTTGACACCCAAATGTCATGCCTTAGCCCAAATGAATTTGCAGCAATTACTGGCCTATTTCATTAGTGTTCAGCAAGTTGCTTTGAGTATTTCAGTTTGGGCATCACAACCATGACCTCTTCCAGGGGAAAAAAACAAATCAAAATTAAGGGCTAGATGTCATTACATAAATAATTCTTAGTAAAGCATAACTGCTCCACAGGTAAAGAAATGTTCTGGTTGCTGCATTTCTTCATTTTGTCCCCCTGTCTCTCCTTCCAGGATTATCTGGGTGCTTGTATTGTCCTGACTGCTGCTGTCACTTCCATCACTGAAGGGCCACACTCGGGGTTTGTGGGGCTGGGTCTCCTGTATGCTCTGACGGTACGTGCCAAGGCCAAGTGTAAGAACTTCCAGACCAACACATTAATTTTATAATATTTTTATGTGTACACTGTCATCTCCCAGCTTTCTTAATCTTGAAAAAAAAGAATCCTGCAAATAATGGACTCAAGCCAAAGTTGAGAGAGTTCAGGGCAACTTGGACTTGCTTCAGATTTTATGAGCCAATTAAAAAAACACAACCATTCCCAGGCCCTGTGTGCTCCCAAGTGGAGCAGGAAAATTAAAAATGCGTAAGAGGACCTGCTGTGCACTCTGTTTTGTACAACACAGCGCTGTTTCCACCTCTACATGGCAAAACCTGCCAGGAAATACAGATTGTCATCATCTGAGTAATCTTTAACCAAAGACCAAATAAAATAATTGCTGAAGAAACAGAATTATGGGTATTGCCCTTGGAGGGAAATTATTGAGATGCCCAAGATTGTCCATGCAATTATGAATGGATCTGGGGATTGGGACATTTGTGGGCATGGTTCATCATGCCAGGTAGCAGTAGGCATGCAGAGGAGATGGACTTAAGGATGACAAGGTTGTGGTGGTCCAACAGCTGGTTCCTTCTGTCACTGTCATTAGCAGTGTGAAGGAACAGTATTTCAGTGTACCTGGCTGTAAGAGAGGCTGAGTGTTCATCATGAGCACAGAGTGAATGACAATCACCACAGAGAGTAGAAGTACTCATGAATTAAGCACAAGAGTTGGGACAAAATATTACTGAATGAACCATGAGAGTGGGGACAAAGGCAGGATGATGATAGTGGCAGGAAGAACTTCTGAAACCATGACTAACATGGCAAAAATCTGTCTGCTTTGAAGCACTGGTATGAGGAAGGGATAAAGGTGTGGGTCTAACCCTGAGATCTGGCTTTGCACATAAATGCTGGTGAGCCCATGGCCACAACAGAAAGTCCTCAGCAGCTGCCTTAGGGAGACCTTAGATCCCCTCTGCACTGCTGTTGCAACAGTGTGAGAATCTGTCAACAACTGAAAATCAGTCCTAGGGCTTCAGCTGCACTCTGAAAACATTCCTGGTAATGCTGCTTCATTAGCAGGGATCTGGAAGTGTCAGGATGTCTGCATCATCCTTGGCTTCTTTGTTTTTAGCCTGTGTTTGCAAACAGTTCATCGGTGTGAAACAGGCATGTGCTGAAGTCTGGCACAACAGGTGAAGAAGAGCTTTAGGCACCAAGTGATCACCTGTCTCCCTCCTGCCCACAATAACCCTGATGAACTTTTAAAGGCAGCTGGATCATTACCTGCCTCACCTGGCATAGTTTGATTTTTTTAAATAATTATTCTTTGCAGCTGAGAGAGGGCTGATATTTGGACCTAGATGAAAGCAAACTGTTTGTACTGCAATTGTGTTTACAGTGGACATCCTGAATTTATTCTCTCCTCTTTTATAAACCCTGCTAACCCCTTTGCACAACTGTGATGAAGCCCGAGGTAATGGGCAGAGTTTTGGGTGCCAGGTTGTGTTATCAAATCTGCCAGATCTAGGATAGCAGCCTGCCATTGCAAGCAGTAGTTCCACAGTGTTTTACTTATCTGCAAACTTTCCCATTTCTGTAACTTCCTAACTTAAAATCTGGACACCAAATAAGCAGGTATCTGAACATAAAGGAGAGAATACCCCGTCAAGAACTCTATCTTAAGGATAAAGCAAGCAGCCAAGTCCTCTAAACTAACCACAATTTTTTGCTGTATCTCATTGAAATTTATTTACTGTTTCATTACTGCATCAATATTAGGTTAGTGGTAAAGAAGTGAGACTGGGTGATTTATTCTTAATAAAGTCCTTATTTGGCACTCACAAGAAAAAATGGCAAAGCCTTTCTCTGAATACGCTTGTGCATAGGGTGTTTTATTTTTAAGTTTCTAAAACTTTATTCAAGTACGTAAAATATCTCAAGTTTTAAAGATTCTTGTCAATCAACTCTTCCTAATAAGATCAGTTCTTCTTTATTACAGAAGCACCTAAATACAGACTTAGGAAACAGATTTACAATTTGCAGCCTTAAACAGTAAGTCTTGCCTAGAAAAGAGTTTTTCTAAGCTACTGAGTATTGTTAGAGAGCTAATAATCAACTCTTATCTACTAAAAGTAATACCTTTACTGTTGATTTAACTATTGATAAAATCCTTTTCATTACAAATAAGAACAAAACCCAGAAAGGAAATATTGCTGAACTGATAACACTTTTTTTCCCTCATGTATTTCAATGCTAAAAACTTCTCATATTTTCCACAGAGGGAAATTGACTATCTAAATATGTAGAAATGAAATTATAATAAAATCTTTTCAATATATTTGCAAATAGTTAACTTTCTAAATCTTTAGTTGCAGTTTTTGAAAGATTAGAATATACATAATAGAAAATATTTCCAAACAGCACTTTCAATTTTGATTTTTTTTTCTGTTTGTGTGCTTAAAGCAGACAGCTTTCAGTGCTGATTATTAGATGTTGAAAACAAGAGATTCCCTCACTCAGTCAGAGTTTAGGTACAACTTTTCCATACTTCTTCAAAAAACAAGGATGAGAATACCAAGAACCAAATTGCTGCCTCAGGGCTAATTGTGTTGGAGTATGACTAGCTTCTTATGGATTTGATGCTGTTGCACTGAGTCTTGAACTGCTGTAATGTTAAAGAGGCCCACTGTGTTGAATCAGGCCAAGGATTTTCACAAATGTATCCAACCTTTATTTCCAGATGGGTAGATGAACAAAAAGAAGGCTGAACCCTGTCCTTGTTTTCATTTTGTGATGCAGATAACCAACTACCTGAACTGGGTAGTGAGGAATCTGGCTGATCTGGAGGTACAGATGGGTGCAGTAAAAAAAGTACACAGCTTCCTGAACATGGAATCAGAGAACTACGAAGGCTACCTGGGTATTGTTCTTAATCTTTTTGGGGCTTTTACATGGTAATGTGAAAGAATGGTAGACTTGGTCATGCAAAATGCACACCTCTCTGGCCAAAATCTGTTCTCACTGAGGTGTAGAAGCTGCCACTGGTGTGAGCGACAAGGATAGCTAAGAGAAGCTATGAAAATATGTTATTCACATTAGTCAACATGAAAAAAAATCCTATTAAGTGTCAGGGAGACAGAGCAGGACTCTACAGTACAATCAAAAATACCACAGTTATAGACGAGATGACAAAACATCCATGTAAGTTATTTAGAAAACAAAAATAAGGACAAAAATTAGAAATGTCACATGCTTCAAAATCTCTGATCTTTCTAGCAGATGGGAACTAAAGATAGTGCCACATTGGCAAGCAGACCTCAGCAACTCTTCTCTGAGCTGCACATTGGAATTTGTGCTACACACACTTCAAATTGGCCTTGATTGCTATTTCAGAAGTGGTTGAAGTGCAAGAAATGGCTCATAGGTCAAGAAGCTTCCCTGGAAAGCCAAGCTTCTTAGTCCAGAGACAAAACCTGCTGTGTATTCACAAATCAGGAAGAAACAAGAGCTGTGATAATGTCAACAGTTCATGCTGTGTGGCAGTAACAACTTCCTTCCTCAAGCTGCCCTTCCTGTGCCGGTCACTGACCCAAGGCCACACTAACGCTGTCCTGACACCGCGTTCTCTGCTCCTTTGGCTTGTCGCTCTTGCAATGCCAAGAGACACTTCAGTATCTGCCCTCTCTCCCTACGTGTGGAGATATGGAAGCCAAGTGCCTGCCAGGCAGTTCCCAGCTCAGCCTCCCCTTGTCAGGGAACTGCAGCTCTGTATTTCCAGTGGCTTAAAGGAAGGTGCCCGGGCAGGAGAGAGGGGAAAGGTGACTGTTGTAAAGGGTGACCCTCTGGCAGCACTCATTTCAGTTTGTTTTTCTGTAACTATTTCAGATCCCTCTCAAGTCCCCAAAGACTGGCCCCAGGAGGGGGAAATCAAGATTGAAAATTTGTGTGTTCGCTATGAAAACAACCTGAAGCCTGTTCTGAAGCATGTGAAGGCCTATATCAAACCAGGACAAAAGGTACCATGTCCAGCAATTGCCCATCATCCTCATTCCGGTGCAGATTCTTCATTACTGAGCTTTCCTTTCTGAAGGGCCAGAAGAACAAGATTAACAACTTGCATTATCAGATATATACATTTACAGTCCTCTCTGAGGTCCTCGGGCACAGATGAAAAACTTACACTGATAAAACTTATTCTTGGCTGGGAGCAATTTTTCTTCTGGCTATCCCATGTCTTTCCAAGTCCATTTTCCTTGCTTAACAGTAAGTCTAAATGGCAGATAAATTAGAAGGATATCAGACTGAACTGTGTAAAAACACAAGAGTATCTCACATTTCAGCACAGAGTGTCATTGGCATCCATGTCAAAATGCTGAAATGCCCTGGGGACGAGTCCTTGTGATGAGGGGCAGAAAAGGGGAATATGCTTGCTGTGCTGTTTTGTGTTTTCCCTGGTGTGCCACCTGCCTTTGGGAAGGACCTTTCTACTCACCAACAGCACAATCCAGTGCAGCTCTCCCCAAAGAACTGCAGGTGTAAGTAAGGAGTAAGGAGTAAGTGAGTAAGTACTCTGTGAGTAAGTGACACCTTCCATTTTTGCAGGTTGGGATCTGTGGTCGCACTGGTAGTGGCAAGTCCTCCCTGTCCCTGGCGTTCTTCAGAATGGTGGACATTTTTGATGGTCAGTTTTTTCCATTTTCCCTGGAATATGCTGTCATTCCTCAACTGCTCCCCCCTTATTTCCTGAGAAGAAGCAAGGAGCCTTTTTGATAGTTTATAGCCTGGTTCTCTGGCTTAGAAGATATTTGATTAGAAATGTAATGCCTAATCCTTCAAAGTACAAAGTGCCCTATTGTGAATAGCACTTGTTTCTCCCAGGAAATGTTGTGCACAGATTATATTTCTAATTGAAAAAAAATATGCATATGGTCTGACAAAACAATATGCAATTTTTGAGACAGGACAAAAATATGTAACTCTCTGGAGTGTCTAAATGTTTGCTTAAAGAATAACTACATTAACTTATTAAAGCTGTCAAAATATTAGCAGAGTAGAAACTAGAACTCAACAAGTCCATTCCCTTGTTGGTTTTTTTTTTTTTATTACGCTTTCCCTTATCTGCAGCAGAATTTGACTCAAGGGTTGGATATATATTTCTATGTTTTCACTCCTGCAGCATTTACCTGTCCCAGCTAATTGGCATGGACTGCTTTTCAGCATTTATAATACAAATACATGTGTGCTGTTGAGGGAATATAGAAAACCACTAGAAAAACATCTTTTTGTTTCAAAAATTTCCATGTTTCTAATTTAGCCATTGTGTTTGGAATGTTTGCCAGAGAAAGCACAGTAGGATGTGGGAGGATAAGTGAATCTGATGTAGCTAATACTTGCTTTTGTTGTGGTTCTGTGCCTATACGTGTCTGTGCTCACAGGCTTCTGATTCATGACCAGGATTCCTGGATATACAAATATTGCAAAGAAATAATAACTATGCTTATGGCCAGTTTGAAGTTTCCTTCTATTTAAGTCTTCTTTCTGTGTATTTTCTTTGTCTCCTTCTCCTGTATCCTTGATTCTTCCCAATGGGAACATCTAAGCCTTTTCTAATCAAGCTCTGTTTATCCTTTGTGCACATCCCTGTCCCAGCTGGATCCATATTTGGCCTCCATGCTGATCCACTTCTGGGTGGGGTCCTGACTCTAATAAATGTTACATAATAAGATTTCGAGTAACTTTACTAGAGGCAAAATTTCATTCATGCTGTTCCTTAGGTCTTCGTTATCTCCCTAAATTTTCTGTCCTATTTTATTTTCCTACTTTTGCTTTGTTCTTTAGTGTTTCCCTTCTCTTGCCCAATGTTCAAACAACCTCCCATTTCTCTTGTGTCTTGCTTGATCACCCCTCAATCTTTTCCCAGTTTCACAGCTCCTCTCAAATTTAATTTTTCCCTTAGGTTCTCTCATCTCCTCTTTTCTTTGAGCACCCTGGCTTCTATCAAATATACATTTCCCTATTCCCCAGGCATGCCATATTAATTTTTTCCCTCCTTATTCTACCTCATCTTCTGCTAGCCAACTCTAATATCCTTATTTGTAAAGAAAAGGAATTGCTTAAGCTTCTGCAACCACCAATGTCTCAAGCATAAGTCCTATAACCTGATTTGGACTTTGCACCTTACAGATAAAATCTTGATTCTTCTGGCCATATAGTAAAAGCATAAAACTACAATAACAGAAGTAGTCCAGCTAGGGGGGCAATGAAGTCTTCCACTGGAACAGGGTCACAGAGAACAACTTACAAAATGCAGTGTCATGACAATGGGAATGACAGAAGGGGAACCTGTACAAATCTCTGAATATCCACATGCCTGCCAGTTCACAGTTAGGTTCTCACTGCTGGGAGAGAGAACTGATGAAATGAATGTTAAGTACATCCCAGCAAGGAGTGCAGCTGCCTAGTGAAGCAATCCACATGAAAACTGCAGAAGTGCCTGATGGAAATAGCCTTTACCATATCCTCATTCAGTTTGCCTTGGTCCATCCCTTCCCTGTCACCTCCAACCCCCAGTACACAAGCATGTATTATGCAAAAGAAATTGTGCTCCTTCTCAAAGGAAATGCCTTCAGCAACTGGTAAATTCAAGGGGAGCAAAGAAAGGCACAGCAACAGAAGTTGCTCTTGTTCTTGCTCTGTTTGGCTGTAATTGATCCATAATAAATTATCCTTATGTTGCTACCATTAGTCACACAGAAGGGAAGACATGTAATTTCCTTTAAGGGAGGATGGAGGGAAGAAAAAGGAAAAGAGCAAGGTGGCAGTATCACTAATAAACTGGGACATCCCTGGCTTGTGTAATTAGATACATTCACCTTCCCCATGTGTCTGACAGTGCTGAGAGCTCACAGAGATAGTGTCCCATCATCCAGAGACCAGCCCAGAGGGGCTGTTCCACCTTTCCACCTGCTACCTGTGGATCACGTGCTTTGTGCAATTCCCTCAGGTGTTCTGTGTGTTGTTTGACACAGGGAGGATAGTGATTGATGGGATAGACATCAGCAAATTGCCTCTGCACACGCTCCGGTCCCGGCTCTCCATCATTCTGCAGGACCCAATCCTGTTCAGTGGCTCCATCCGGTAGGTGTATGCCATCAGGGGGTGAGTGGCAGGCAGCATTGCACAGCCTGCCTGTCATGGGAGCTGGGGGACAGGAGAAGATGGAACAGCCAAGGAACCTTCCTAGCTCAGCCCAATCCATCTGCACAGCCTGCCAAGCGACACACGGTGCCAAGGTTTTAATTTGCAGAAAACCTGAAAGTAATTGCGGTGACAAGACTCCTGTTATGGTTTTCTTTGCAGCTTTAATTTGGATCCTGAATGCAAGTGCACCGATGACAGACTCTGGGAAGCTCTGGAGATTGCTCAGTTGAAGAACATGGTCAAGTCATTGCCAGGAGGCCTTGGTATGTCAGAACCAATCTCTGGATCATGGGCCAATAATGGAGTCATGCATGCACACAGATAAACAGATCCATCCCATCTGACACTCTGGATCATCACATGGGAGTGCCAGACACTCTTCAGAGTAGAGAATATTTTTATTGAAAAGCTGAAGAATAGTCTGGTTTCCCATGCACTGTGGAAAAATCCTACAACATCTCAGCATCATGGTGTGATTCTTGGGGCTGTCCTGTGCAGGGCCAGGAGCTGGATTTTGGTGATCCTGTGGGCTCCTTCCAACTCAGGACATGTGATGATTCTATAATCACAGTAGGATAATCACTAAGGAGAATAAAGAACAATTTTACCTTCTGTAGCAGAATCTGGCTTTGCAAGCAGAGCTGTAAACTCTGACACAGTTTTTCTTACCATTTCAGATCCATTTCATGAAGGAAACTTCCATATTTATTTCCATATTAAGTATATTTCATATTACTAAGATATTACGTTGCAGCCTACCAGATTTTCTAACAATTTGTGCCAACTGTTTGTTTAGTGATATATTTCTTCTTTCCCAAGAGGCTGTGCTCATTTTTCTTGGTATCCCTCCATCCCACTGGTCAGTCAAGGTTATGGTTATTGGCTTTTATGGGGATTTTGCTTGGCCCTGGAGTAGTGCACAAACAGAGATCTCAGAGGCAGCATTTGAGAGGTGTTCAGATGTTCACAGGAACTGGTTTTGTTACAGATGCCATGGTCACAGAAGGAGGGGAAAACTTCAGTGTGGGGCAAAGGCAGCTCTTCTGTCTGGCCCGAGCCTTTGTCCGCAAGAGCAGCATCCTCATCATGGATGAAGCCACAGCATCTATTGACATGGCCACAGTGAGTACAGCAATTAGCTAATTAAGAATCTACCAGGAGAAAGGCATCTTCCCTAAGTGTCAGCCACAAAGTGTGAGATCTCTGTAGCAGAAAAAGCTGGCAGTTTTTTTGTTTCTCAGGATAAAATGAAATGCTTTAGAGAACTCCTGCTTTCACAGGTGTGACATTTCCCTTCTGGGAAAGAGATAGTGTGCCATATGCTTAAAAACACATGAATTAGAATGTAACAGGATGAAGTAACTGGAGTGAGCCTTTTCCTCTGACAGGAAAACATCTTGCAGAAGGTTGTGATGACTGCCTTTGCCGACCGCACTGTTGTTACAATAGCGGTAAGTATTCAGCCAGAAAAAGCTCTTTTTTCCTCATTCCTCAGGCAGTTAACCTTGGCCTTCACCAGTTAAACACCACAACATAAAACTAAAAGTATCACAAAATAGAACTAAACCACAAGGCCAGAATATTCCCATGATACTAGAAAAAGTCAGACACCTACTATCAACCTGAAATTTTGCAGTAAATGCTGTCTTGCTATTAAACTAAAACACTTGGATCTGAACAAAGACTTTACAGGGAACTTCAGCATCTGCACTGTCTCCACCAAAATTTGAAGTTATTCTCACAAAAAAATTGAAAGCAAATGCATGGTTTAACCATTACTGAAAGCTGCATCAAAATCTAGGTTTGAATTTTGCCTCTGAAGGCTATGTATGTGTAGTGCCTACAAACACTGCACAAATTTATGAGTTGAGATTTTATAATATTCTTGATGCGGTTTCTCAGGCTGGGTTATCTTTTCTCTCCTTTGGAATAAAAATCTGGGTTTACAATAAAAGTTTTAAAAACTGGAATTGATGCCCAAAGAGGCTACTGGAGGCTAGAGAGTGTTAAAGAATAAGATAAATATTTATTTAAAAGGCCTTCAAAGGATATACCTTGAGCAGTACAAGAGCCTGGCCATGGCTCCACCCACGATGGGCATCATGTCACAAATTTTCACACTTTTATACTTTTTGGTCCATTTACATATTCGGGTTAAATGTCCAGTAACAGCTTCAGGTTATGTAAGCCCATCTTCCCACATTGCTCTCCTCAATTCACCATTGTTGGTACTTTTGGGGCCTGAAGCTGCAACAGTGTCCTTGCTTTTCAGGCTGGAAAAGGATTGTTTTGTCTAATTCAACTGTGAAGAGAACTTGCTAATACTTTATATGAAGTTCAGAGTTACACACTGAGGCAGTACAGAATCTGGAATATATGAAAGCTAAAACTTAAGGCATCAGAATCAATGGGAATTACCCCCCAGAATAATATCTTTTCAGCTAGCGGTTTATGATGTTTTTTCCCATTTTCCTGCCACTTCTAGTGCCCAAAAGTTCCCTATATCCATACATGTTTCATACATACATGTGCATAGAGATGTGGTGGACACCATTAAGAATATTTCCACCTGTGACAGCGGCATTAGTCAACAAACAGGTTTTTTCCATGAGATAAATACGTGTTTCAACAGCTGTTTCATTTGCCTTGTCTGGAATCTGGAGTCCTGTGATTAGAGATTACAGACAGGCCTCCTGGACTCTGGTTTCAAGCCTGTCATCGAGTAGTTTGTGTCAGGCAAGCCACTTAACCCAGCCCATTTACAATGTGCTCCAAGGTTCTTGGCTGTGTAAATGCTGAAGATTCTGGTGGTGACACTGTTGTCCTTCAGTTCCATGCTTATTGTCCTTCTGGCTGGAATCTCTTTTCTTTAGCTTTGCCTTTCCAAAATCAGTGTCTCAAGTGAAACAGCACACATTAATATTTAGCTTCCCTCACAGAGCTGGCTTCATTCCTTCCTTTCCTCGTCCACAGCTGATCTTTCCTTCACCCACCTGTTTTTCTGTTCTTTTTTCCAGCATCGTGTGTCTCACATCTTGGATGCCAATATTGTCCTAGTCCTTTCTGAGGGCTTTCTAGTTGAATGTGACACTGCCTCAAACTTACTCCTCAAAGAGGACGGCCTGTTCACCACTTTGGTGAAGACTCACAAGTAGACTCTCTCAGTCCACACTGTTCACAGGACTTCTGGCTCTTTGGTAGTTATTTTTACCTCTTTAGTTTCCTTTCACTCTGCTTCCTTTCTATTGCACAGCTTCTGAGAGGACAGTGCAAAAAGGTGTTTCTTGTGTGATTCCTGGATTTGTTTAATTTCATGACTATTTATGTGGATCATATGTAAATCTTAGACATGCAGCTGACACTGAAACTACCATGTCAAGGGAATCCAACCCATGAAGTGATCTCTGAGTTTCAGCCTCTTCAGTGAAATATCACACTATACCTGACTGGCTGTATTCATATGGCCTTGAAATTAAGCTCAAACTGGTTTCAAACCTGTAGTTTATGGGATTAAACTGTTGCCTGGAGTACACCCCAATCTCAGAGGGATTTACAGAAGGCAATAGCCCAGGGATGCCTGAGGTAGATGGAGAGCAGACTGCTGGGGTGCAGAGAACAAGGAGCAGATCAGAATGCTAAGCCACCTGACAGTGCAGGATGCTTCTCAGCCCTATTTCCCACAGGGGAAGATGTATTTCAGTGGTGCCATAGCATTTATTCCAACAGCTGTGTTGTCCATAATGGCAAAAAGTGAAGCTCATGCTTAAGTATTTTCAGGCTTGGTGGCAGGGGCTGTAAAGTAATTGAAGATCACCTCAGATTAAAGTAAAAGGATCTATTCCAAATATTGCTGTAAACAAGGCAGCCTTTCCCCAATGAGGTTTGCCTTGCATGAGGCCCATTAGAGAGAATTATCCAAATGAAAACCTGTTGGCCTTCCTTTGTGGCAGCACCGGGTTCACACCATCCTCACTGCAGACCTGGTCATCGTCATGAAGCGAGGGAACATTCTGGAATACGATACTCCTGAGAACCTGCTTTCCCAGGAAGATGGCATCTTCGCTTCCTTTGTCCGGGCTGACATGTGAACAGCTACACAATGCATTTTAACAGCTTATTTTTAAACAGACAAAATGCAAATATTTTCTACTCAGTGTAACATCACTTTTACCTTTTTTGTCTTGTTTTGTATTTTAGAGCTTATTTCTTCACACTTCCGTCTTTCAAAATAATAAAGCCTATTGCAATATATATATGCCTTGAAGCAATAAAAATGTCACTTTATTCAAAGCTATTAAACTTCACACACATGCACACACACACACGCATACACGGAGGGAGAAGTTTTTACTTCCCGAGAATTTGGCATTTTCCTTAGACTATTTATTGACTTAATTTTTGTTTAAAGAGAGAAAAAGAATGCACTGATCTTATAAACTGCATATGTTATGCTGGAACCAGCAATCAAATCGTGCAGTTTGTCAAGGAAGCAAGAGGTTCCCCAGATGCATTCTGTCCCCAGAGGGAAAAATTAGGAAAAACATCCAAGCCCATAACACTTGGGGCAATCTGCTGCATTCCAAAGGCATAAACTTTGCTCTCCAAGTTGTAGCAGAGGGGCAGCGAATAAGGGAAAGGAATTTCATCAGGAATAAGGACATTCTTCCTGTCCTTCACTTTAGTAAGCACACTTCTGTCATGACAGAACTATTTTCAGAGCAACGATGGTTTGTTCATACAGTCAGTTCCTAAATCCATATTCATTCTTCCAACTTTCACTAAAGATTCAAATCATCCTATGATTATGCATGCTTTGATAGGCTTATAGAGGAATTTTGTACAGTACCTCAAGACTTTGTATTAAAATTGATCTGAATTTATAAACTTGATATTAGCCAATCCTTTAATCATGTCTACTAAAATATTCTGCTTAAAATGGCATGTAATTAGCCAACCACTAATTGTTTTATATGTCTTTAGTCCTTCAAGTTCTATTTGGGGACAACTTTTATTTTCCTTTATATATTTGTGGCCTACCTCTAAATCAGATCTAGTGCAAGGAGGTGTGATTTTCAAATTATTGCTATATCCTCAAGAATGTAGATGAAGTTAGACACATATTTACATCAGGCAGCTTGGCAAAGGTTGTCTGCACCTGACTCACACACAGTTTGATCCTGACCCTTGGGCAGTAAACACCCAGAAGAAGTTTCACAGGCATATTTTCAAAGGTACAGCTTGAGAGATCAGCTTCACTGGTAATATTCAAGGTGATTCTTATTCACCTGCTGCTACAACATTTAGGAAGAACACTAAGTGCACTTAAGCGTATTTATAGTGCATTAAAATAACAAAAGGTGCAGCATTTCTGTCCCTCCCCCCGCCAAAAAAAAAAAGCCCAACAATTTTGGAGAAGTTGTAGGACTTGAAACTGGCTTCCATTTAGTCTCACAGTGCAAAAAATTATATAGTGGTTTATCTTTTTAAATTAATTTTTGGAAGTTTTTATTTTCTCTGAATTATTGAAAATATACCTGTGTGATACAACGAAACAAAAGAGCTCAGTCTTGAACATTTTATGAGGGGAAGTACTTCTGTGATTTCCCTGTCTACCGCTGTGAAAGCGTTTTTGTTCTTTTCTGGATTAATTCCCCGTGCTGACCTTTGTCATTCAAATAAAATACATTTTTATAAACAGATGCCTGCTGCAGAAGCACATATTGTTCTCCAAATTTCATGGCCAAAAGGCCAAAATTATTCTTCATTTAATTTAATTGTCTTCAGTGAAAAGATAATTGGATAATTGGATTCCCTGCTGTCAGACTGGGTATAGAGATGAAGCACAAGAAGTTTTGTTGATCTGTGTGTCTTTGATAACAATGTAATCCTGATTTATTTTAAGTGATGTTAGCCAGTTCATTGAGATCCCTGTTCCCACTGCATTAAAGGGTTGCCATGAGCCTGGGACTGTGTCTTGTAATACTTAAGAGGGGCCAATAATTAGCATCTCTTTTCTCTTAGGTTTGTCCCAGAGCCATTGCAGGTTTGCTCACCCCTGGCTTTAGAAGTGAACTCTGTTGTTTGAACAGGTGGAAAATAAAATAGATATGTGAGAAAAGGAACACATGATGGGGTGAGAGAACCTCATCATGCTCCATCCATTTGGAGGGAGGAGTGCAGGAATATTGGCCCCAGTGTTAGACTCACCATGGCTGAAGTGTTGGGTGACTGCTGCAGTGGGTCCCACTGCTGCCCAGCAGGTTTAAAAGCACAATCCCATTTCTAAAGCATTAATCCTAATCAAGATACACAAATCTTACAAGATAACAAACATAAACCACCTGCTGCAGATACAGGAGATCTCCTGTTACAGCTTCTGTCCACATGATGGTACAGACACCCCAAGGGCTTAGGCTGAACATTTTTTGTGTTTTTGTCTAAAGCAGGAGGGTGATGCCAAAGGTTGCACAGCTGTTTTGTTACTGAAAAGGGTGCAGAAGGTACAAAATCTTTGAAACAAATTTCTTTTGATTTCATGTAAAGGTCTGAAGTGTGTCCCATTTGGGAGCAGTTTCCTAAGGCTGTCACGTGCACAGTAAAGGAAACATCAGGTGGAGACTGTTCCTTTGATTCTTGTCACACTGCCTCTTCTGCTGGTAGGCCCTTCTTCTCTTCCACAGCCTCCTTGCTCTTTTTTCTTCACCATCTCCCTGTGTCATAGACCTTTGAGGCTCCTGCTTGCAATCTCTGGATGCTCCTTATTCTGCCTATGCCCTCCCACTCCTTCCCAGATGAGCTCCATGCCCTTTGTCCCATTTCTTCTCTCACACAGCTCTGCACTCACTCTCCCCTTCCCTTTCCTGTCTTTGATAACACCCCTGCTCTTCAGGGAGACACTTACTCTAGTGACATCATGGTTTGGGGTTGGTTTGTTTTTCTAAGCATTAAACCAAGCAAGCTTTCAGTATTTTGATACTGTGCTTCAGAACTATGAAGTTCTTCCTTCTCCAAAGGAGCTTTGAATGTGAACACTGGCTATGTGTGAATTTAACTATGGACAGAGGAAAGACAACTCTGTGATAAATTATAAATAATATTTCTCATTCCATCTGCATTATTTTTCTGTTAACTCTTCCTGGGAGAGAAATAGCAAAGTTGTTGCTGATCATAGAATCACGGAATGGTTTGGATTGGGAGGAAACTTAAAGCTTCTCTTGTTCCACTCCCTGCCATGGGCAGGGACACCTTCCACTATCCCGGGTTGCTCAGAGCCACATCCAGCCTGGCCTTGGACACTGCCAGGGATGGGGCAGCCACAGCTTCTCTGGGCACCCTGTGCCAGGGCCTCACCACTCTCACAGGGAAGAATTTCTTTCCAATATCCAATTTAACCTACACTCTTCCAGTTTGAAGTCATTCCCCCTCCTCCTACCACTGCACTCCCTCACAGAGTCCCTTCCCATCTTTCTGCAGGTCCCCTTTAAGTACAGAAATTGGTTGTGCAATGGCTTGTGGAGCCACAACAGTGATTCTTAACCTTTGGCTTACACCCCATGGGTATCTTTCCCACTCCTTGAGCCAGGTCTAAGGGCTGGCATGGATCAAACTGCTCCCTTCCTGTATGTGGCCTTTCATCAAACTCATCACAGCTCATGATAGCTAATCCCTGCTTCTTCTAAACTAGAAATATCCCATACAACCTCTACTGAGCCCAATCTTAATCATGCTAGGAAACACCAGAACTTCCCCTGAGCAGTTTGAGATAGCTCTGTTAAGCCAGGGGCATAAGCCAGGCAAAGTCTCTGCATGGAGACGTCTCTGCTTTGTTAGGCCAAGTGATACATACAAGAGGTATCTTAAGTGCTTATAATAAGTTCCAGTCTCACTGCAGACCTGAAAAAGCTCTTTATTTGCAGGAGTGTGCCTGCTTTTCCCAGCTGTATCAGTCAGCTGAAAGAATATATTCTCCAATGCTTCTCAAGCACTTGGACAAGCCCCTTTTAGGTATAGCAGAACACCTCTGCTATAAATTCATGCACCTCCAGGGAACTCAATTAGTACCAGCAGGAACATAGCCCAAAGAAGTTTGCATCTCATTATATATAAACCCTCTGCAAAGAGCAATAACACTGAAATGTGTTTTCTTAAAATAGAAATACAGTTTCAAATGTGGTCAAGTAGTAAAAACTCCTTGTACAATAAGTTGTTTCATTTAACTGTGTTCTTTTTGCTTCCCAAAGCAATGGACTGCTGTGCTTTATTGTGTAAATACGTCAATACATCCACAGGCAATTTTGTTAATGCATCAGGAAAAGCAGAAGGAAATCTCACACGAGCATTTTACATGAATGCTTGTAGATATTTTATCAAAAAAATAAATGGAGATATAACACACTTGAGTCAACAGCTACATTTATAAAAAAAGCTGTTGACAGGGGCCATGTCTTCATTATCATGATTCCATTATCCAGTGTCAGAAGTTGGAGTATGTTCCCCTTGGAAGCACTATAACCCCGTGTCCTCAGTGTGATACTGCCAGTCAAAATCAACTCTAAAATATCCACTGAAACCACAGTGCCACTTATAAAACCACTCTGGAGCAAAGATTTTCCCAGTAAATGTGATTAAAAGCAACAATTAACTCTGCATATTTGCATCTTCAAGTAGCATCTTTTGAAAGCCTTATTTAAAATCAAAATATGTTATTTAAATTCTCTGATATGAATTCCATGGTGGCATGTGAAGAACTCCTCAGCCTCTTTGGAAACTAAATCCTTTCAGAGGCAAAACTAAGAGACTACTAAGAAAAGTCTGAAAACAAAACTGTAAATCAAACTATTCGTTGCCATGCAAACATCCCAATTATTTCCACACTGGTTTTTCTCTGTTCTGTTTTTTCTCCTCTAGAACTGACCTCTGTGCAGAACTGTAGGGAAAGACTATCAGGTATTCAAATGATGAAAAAATTGTTGTGAGGCAGAAGTGTGCTGACTCGTACAAATTAGCAACTTGCTGATGCTGTTTTGTTTTGGCAGCACAGCTTAAAGTATTCGCTTGAATGAAGCCAAGAAACTTCCAAGTGTAATCTGTCAAGAGAAGAGAGATTTTCAGAAAATATATTTACTACAGTTACTGTTAATTATTCACTATTGATAGTATTTGTCTGCTGCTAGATATTACCCATGGAAACAGAACAGACACTCCAGGCAGACGCTGCTCATTTCTCTAATATAATATACCACATTCTGAAAACTATAAACAAGCAGTTATTTAAAAGGTAATTTTAATTGGTTTCTATTAGGTGTAATTGTCATTCATCCTGTGCAAGATGCCTTCTTTCATTTTCATGGAACATGGGGATTTTCATCCCATGATCTGTTATATAATAATACAGCATCCAACACACTGCACATTTCAGTGGGCACTGCAATTCATTCCCATGTATGTGTATTAGTCTGCTTTATACATAAATACATTACATGGTTATACAACCTCTGGATTAAAGGTATAAGTAAGTAATGTACAGTCCCAGCTAGGACTGCCCAGAAGAGTTCCTCATAGCTATTACCATGACATTTCTTAACTCTCCCTTTAATTTATTTCAGGATTTTCAGGCTATATCCATAAATATCACTTCAATGTGCAGTAAAATATTTAACCATGTAACTAAGGAACTAATGCAGCTTCGTGTAAATGACATGGTCCAGAACCTCCGCCCTTCAAGAGCACAGCTGCAGACGCCTCAAGGCAGCATATTCTTCCATATTTAATGGTTATATGTGTTTTTATTCTCCCAGCCACATTAGGCCTCTTTCAGCAATTTGACTTCTCCATCAGAGGCAGGAAGGTGGGAGCCTAAGAATCTCTGAGTACTGCAGATTTTCACGGATGAATCATTCAGATTTGGGGCCTTCTATTTCTTCAGGTCCCACCAGAGCATCTGAGATTTGAGGGCTTTGAGTTGTCAGATATTGTGTGACAAGATCTGAAGGTGAGACATAACATCTGTCTTCTGTCAGTGGCATAATCTTAATTTAACCCTGAAAAAGCCAGTGAGCCAGGGAAGGGAAGCACTTAAGGGACACCATGCTCTAGGAACACAGCTAGAAACTCACTGTAACAATGTTCAACCCACTTAGAAACTGATTTACAGTCTTCCCATAAATTATGGCATGGGGAGGCAAGGAAACAGTCCCAAAATGGGGTTGCTCTTCCCAGAGCCTTAGGATAAACTCCAGGAAAAGGCACGTAATGAACAACAAACTTCACTATGCAACTTACACTGGACAAGGGTAATATGAGAATACTCATTACATGTATTCTGATGATAAAAACTATTTCTGTCCTGCTGCTCTTGCATGAAACAGGGGGAGAAAGAGCTAGTTCAGGGTAACAGATGCCCTTAGTTTGCAGTTTCTGCTCTTTCATGTTTGATGGATGTTCTGCCAGCTCATGTAGGGAAGAGTTCACCCACACTGTCCGAATATGGCTTATCAGCTTTGTGTCTCTGTGGAAGCCTTGCTCGAAGTGCATGACATCTCTGGACGCCTGCAAAGTCATCCTATCTCTAAGCTAAGATTAGAATTTCAAACAAAACTTATTACAAAGCAGGATTTTCTGAAAGGGCTGGACAGAGCTATAATGTGGAAATTTCAGATTCATGTCTAAGTGTACTATTTAATCCTGATTTTAGATAGGC